CAAATAGGGTCTCACTCTTTTGTCCAGGCTGGAGTGCAGTGGTGTGACCATGGCTCACTGGAGCTTCAACTTCCCAGACTTAAGTGATCCTCCTACGTCAGCCTCCCAAAGTAGATGGGACCACAAGGACATGCCACCATGCCCTGCTAATTTTTTCATTTTTTTGTAGAGACAAAGTCTCATTGTGTTGCCCAGGCTGGTCTCAAACTCCTGGGCTCAAGCAATCCTCCTGCTTTGGCCACCCAAAGTACTAGGATTATAAGCGTGAACCATCACATTTGGCCTAGAGCTCTCATTTGTAAATGGACTTCTTAAAGTGTAGTCGTATTCATTTTGGATGTTCCACTATAATTTTTAATTACCTAAAGTGAGATTTCACCATTTCAGTGTTTGCCACTTTTAGGTTCTAACATTTATGCATCTGTAGGTAGGCATAGCTATAAGGTAGAGTACTCAGTTCTTCAGAAATTAAGGATCCCTTTTTTTACCTTGAATCTTGGCTTTGGCTGTCAGATCCCATTGATCAACTTAGCCAGTGATTTTTCCCTACCTAGACACACGAGAAAAAGAAACAAAGGGCTTAGGCCAGGCGTGGTGGCTCACGCCTATAATCCCAGCACTTTGGGAGGCTGAGGCAGGTAAATCACCTGAGATCAGGAGTTGGAGACCAGCTTGGCCAACATGGTGAAACCCCATCTCTACTAAAAACACAAAAACTAGCTGCGTGTGGTGGCAGGCACCCATAATCTCAGCTACTTGGGAGGCTGAGGCAGGAGAATTACTAGAACCCTGGAGACGGAGGTTGCAGAAAGCCAAGATCGCTCCATTGCACTCCAGCCCAGGTGACAACAGCGAGACTCTATCTCAAAAAAGAAAATAAAGTACATAGACATAGAACACAAAAATCTCTGTGAATTTCCAAAAGCCAAAGTTCACACCTCCTTATTTGCCATTGACTGCCAGTTTCTGCCTGACTCAGTTAGGACTCTGACTGAATCCATGTCAGTTAATTATCAGATCCAGTCCAATTCTAGACCCAGTCCAGTTTCTGTCATGACTTCTGAACCCATATCAGATTTTAAATTTTGATCAAATAAATTCAGATAGCTCAAAATGCAAATCCATGGAGCTTCAGAATCTGAGAATTTACCCACAATTTTCAGTTGCTTGCAAGAGAGCAATGGTCACAGTGAGTCTGACTGGTACTATGCTTAGTCATTCAGTGCTCCTAGCACTGATTGCTAGCATCTCTACTTCAGATTCCACTTCTGACACCATCTGTTAAAAGAAAAACTATACAAATTAAATTTAACAGAGTTTAATTGAGGAAACAATGATTCACAAATCAGGAAGCCCTTAGAACCAGAATAGGTTCAGAGAGAGTTTTTATAGACAGAAAAAGGAAAATGAGGTACAGAAAATGAAAGTGAGGTACAGAAACAGCTGTATAGCTTACACCTTGATATTTGCCTTATTTGAGCATGGTTTGAACAGTTGCCTGCCTTTGATTGGCTGAAACACAGCAATTGGTACAAGAGTAGGTTCTAGCTTGTTTACACATCTGGAGAATACAGTTCACTATGTACAGAGAAACCTTTAGGCCAAACATTAATAACATAAGGAGACAGCTTTAGGTGAAACATAATGTGACACTACCTACCAGGTGAGGATTAACTAAGATCCTTACTTTTCTGTTGAAAATCTTGACGGAATGGTTAAACTCCTTGTTTCTATTTCCTTACTTTCCAAAATTTGGCTTTCGTTTCCCCCACTTTTTCTCTCTTCTTCAGCTTCTGTCCTCCAACTTCTAAGTGCTCAAAAATCTTCTGTTCAATTTTTTGTTTTAATGAGCAATTTTCACATTATCTGACTTAATCTCTTAGGCTTCCAGACTGCTATCATCTCTCCTCCCTTGAAATCTTAGTGCTCTGCCAAAACTGGTTCCTGGAAGATTTCTTGTATCTTTATGCTTATCAGTTCCAATGGTCTCTTCTAAGCCATTGATTTTTCTCAAAATATGACTGCCTCCTTTTTTTTTTCTTTCGAGATGGGGTCTCACTCTGTTGCCCAGGCTGGAGTGTGGTGATACAGTCACAACTCACTGCAGCCTCAACTTCCCAGGCTCAAATGATCCTCCCACCTGAGCTTCCCAAGTAGCTGGGACTACAGACATATGCCACCATGCCCAGCTAATTCTTTTTTTTTTTTTTTTTTTTTTTTTTTTTTTGTATAGATAGGATCTCACTATGTTGCCTAAGCTGGTCTCAAACTCCTGGACTCAAGCAGTCCTCCTGTCTTGGCCTCCCAAAGTTCTGGAATTATAGGCGTGAGCCACCGCACCCTGCCTACCTTCTCCTCTCTTGCCTTCTGGTTCTTTAGTTCATGTTTTCTGGCTTCTTTTCCTCTTCATTGTCGATCTCTTCTTTGGGATTCTCACACAGTCTCAATGCCTTCTGCTGTCACCCTTGTTTGAGAATTTTGGCTGCTGTGAAAGAACACCACCTCCACTGTGACTATTCCTACTCTGAAACATTTAGGCTTCTCTTTGACGAAGAGTGACATTCAAAATCAGTATGACATTTATTAATCTTATTCATTTTTTTGAGATAGAGTCTCACTCTGTAGCCCAGGCTAGAGTGCAGTGGCATGATCTCAGCTCAGTGTAATCTCTGCCTCCTGGGTTCAGCATATAAAATCAGTATGACATTTAATATCTCCCACCAGTCTCTTAAGTCCTTCATCATTACTCCATTTTCACGTATTCTATACAAAGAAACTGAAGCACTGTATTCCTTCTATCTCCCTGTCCTTCCTGTTTCCACTCATGCAGCCCTTTACTAAGAATGCCGTCTTCCTATCTCTACCCATCTGTATCCTCTCTATTTGTGCTTGTCAATTTATATGTCAATTGACACATAATACAATTGTATTATAATTATTTTGTAAATGTATTACCCCTCTGGAATCTAATTTTCTTAAGGAAATGATCCTTATCTAATTTAAATCTCTACTGATATGAAGTATGCCAATAATGAAACATTCTTGGGTGATACAGAGACCAATTTACCTCAAGCCAATTCAGAATTTGCCTTGCCTTCTTCGTGGCAAGAAGAAATTAGAATGTGAGAAAGAAATTTTTTTGGTATTTATTTCTGTTCATCCCAAATCTCTAAATGGATGCTTTAATTATTACTTAATATATTTTTTTCCTCCAGAGTTTTTGTCTCCCTGATTTCAAGTAAAATGTCATAAGGATCGTTTATTACAATGCTACCATTATCTTATTTGGCCTCAAAAGCCAAAAAAAAAAATGTTTTTTGAACTTGAGCTTTTTTTTTAAATGTTATATTTGTTATTCACAGCTTGAATAGGTGACTCAGCATCATTGAGCCTGTGGCTCTTGTTCAGGCTAAGTGAAAATATTCGATTTCATACTTTTTAAAATTAAACACCAATAAGGAATAAGAGAAGGGAATATCTACAAAATTCATCTCTATCCTGAAGAAATCAGTGTTTTAAGCAAAGACTACTCAGATCCTTGACTTAGGACCTCATTTGTTTTAAAAACAAGTGAAGCAATTGTTGCTCATTATTGCTCATTTTTACTAAATTCAGAATTTTCGTTAAATATGAAATTAGTGGCTGGGATCGGTGGCTCATGCCCGTAATCCCAGAACTTTGGGAGGCCAAGGTGGATGGATTGCCTGAGGTCAGGAGTTTGAGACCAGCTGACCAACATGATGAAACCCCATCTCTACTAAAAATACAAAAATTAGCCAGGCATGGTGGCACATGCCTGTAATCCCAGCTACTTGGGAAACTCAGGTGGGAGAAGCGTTTAAGCCTGGGAAGTTTAGGCTGTAGTGAGTTGTGATTGTATCACTGTACTTCAGCCTGGGCAACAGAGTGATACCCCATCTCAAAAAATAAATAAATAAATACAAAGAAAGAAATTGGTTTTGGAAGTGTTTCAGTGTAAATGAAAGTACATTGAAAATGCTGCCTGCCTCGTCTGTTTGTTTAGAGGCAGAGTCTTACTCTGTCATCTAGGCTGGAGTGCAGAGGCTCACTGCAACCTCTACCTCCCAGTTTTCAGTGATTCTCCTGCCTCAGCCTCCCAAATAGCTGGAACTGCAGGTGCCTGTCACCACACCAAACTAGTTTTGTATTTTTAGTAGAGATGAGGTTTCACCATGTTGGCCAGGCTGATCTCAAACTACTGACTTCAAGTCATCCGCCTGCTTCAGACTCCCAAAGTGCTGAGATTACAGGCATGAGTCACTGTACCTGGCCTCATCTGTTTTTAAGTTTTCTTTTTATATTTAAAAAAATATCTTCTGAGGGTATAATCTTTCCTGCTATTCTAGTGTGAGATAGGTAATACTATAGAAATTCTGGCTCTACCATTTATCGAATTATTTGACCTTTGGCCAAATATGTAATGTCTATGAAACTGTTTTCTGACCTGTAAAATAGGATTATACCTGCCCTGCCTCTTTCTTATGGATCTTGTCAATCAAATTAGAAAATATACAATAGCTAAAATTTATCAAGCTTTTACCATGATCTTGGGTGTTGTGCTAAGTGCTTTACTTGTATGATGTCATTTAATCTTCACACCAACCCTATAATGGAAGTAATCCTGTTACAGATGAGGAAAACTGAAATAAATTGCCTAAAATTTTATGGCTAGTATGTAGCAGAATTGGGGATTGAACTCTCCTTACTAACTCTAGAGCTGGACTCTTAACCAGCATATGCTATTACTAATGCTCCTTGTAAACTACTAAATACCTTATAACTGTATAGTATGTTCTTAGTTTGCAAAATGAATTACTGACCCACCATCGCCCTTAACATCAGTAGTCTGGTGACCTCTCATATATGAAACACACAAATCTTTGCTTCATCCTTCCATTCCCTTCCCAAACTTCCCATTACTACTTTGTAGAAATTCATGACTAGACAAAGGTTTTATATTTAGTGGTTTCTTCTTCTAGGGGTTTCACAGACCAGCTGCGTAAGATTTCTAAGGATGCAGGGATGCCCATCCAGGGCCAGCCATGCTTCTGCAAATATGCACAGGGGGCAGACAGCGTAGAGCCCATGTTCCGGCATCTCAAGAACACATATTCTGGCCTACAGCTTATTATCGTCATCCTGCCAGGGAAGACGCCAGTGTATGGTAAGGATATCTTAATATCAAGCATTTTTCCTCAAATACTTGATATCCTTTTAGGATTATGCTTAAACATGTCCTAAAACTTTCAAATGTTAAAATATATTTTATGATACAGTATTTAAAACCATGTATTATTATTTGAAGACAAATCAATATAGCAAACTAAATAGTCCAAGATGAGATACTATGAAAAGAGTTTCAGTAGTGAAAAGAGGCATCACATGACAATGGCTAAGGGAAGAATTATTTAATAAAAATGACATTGAGCTAATTTGAGTATCAGTATAATGTAGTAGTTAAAAGCACAGGCTATCAAATTAAACTGTGTTGCTCAATATTCAAGTACTGCCAGTTGTACTACCTGTGTGATTTGGCTGAACTAATCATACTAACCCTTAGTTTCCTCATCTCTGGAATTGGGATACTATTTATGTATGTATGTAGTATATATGTTTGGGATAGGATCTCACTCAGTCTTTCAGGCTGGAGTGCAGTGGTGCAATCATGGCTCACTGCAGCCTTGACCTCTTGGGCTCAAACAATCCTCCTGAACTGGCCTCCCAAGTAGCTGGAACTACAGGTATGTGTCACCACACTGGGCTAACTTTTTATTTTTTTGTAGGGCAGGATCTCACTGTGTTTCTTGGGTTGGTCTTGAACTCCTGGGCTCAAGCAATCCTCAAACCTTGGCCTCCCAAAGTGCTGGGATTACAGGTGTGAGTCACTGTGCCCAGCCTCTTTCTGGTTTTAATTGAGCATTTTATATGATTATATTTTCCTTCCTCTTTTACTGTATCAGTTATACTTTCTTTATATATAACACACATACCCTGGGATACTAACAATACCTAATCCGCATATAGGGTAGTTGTAAGGATTAACTGAGTCTACATATGTAAAGAATCTAGAATGGCACCTTTCATATAGTAAACAGTAAATTTTAACTTTTTATAAACAAAATTTTGTGAGATTAATAAGTTAAACATTGTCATTGAATCATAGAAAAATACAAAGAAAATATAATGTTCAAACCACTGAATGGGGTAAAATCATGTAAGTTTAGAAATAATAGAAGAAATCACAAAAGCAAATTGTTAGATTTTACTGAGTAAACATTGAATTTTCTTTTCTTTTTCTTTTTCTTTCTTTTTTCTTTTTTTGAGATGGAGTCTTGCTCTGTTGCCCAGGCTGGAGTGCAGTGGTGTGCTCTCAGCTCACTGAAACCTCCGCCTCCTGGTTTCACACTATTCTCCTGCCTCAGCCTCCCTAGTAGCTGGGACTACAGGTTCATGCCACTATGACCAGCTAATTTTTGTATTTTTAGTAGAGACGGGGTTTCACCATGTTAGGGTGGTCTTGAACTCCTGACCTCAGGTGATCCACCCACTTCGGCCTCCCAAAATGCTGGGATTACAGGTATAAGCCACCATGCCTGGCTCCTAAATTTTCTGTGTGTCACAGATGTACTAAAATGAAAAGAAAACCAATAGAGTATGGAAAATATTTGTAGCAAATAGAAACAATAAACAAATAGTTTATTATTAAATAAAAACTTCCTTTTTTTAGATTAATGAGAAAAGAATATAAACTGAAATTTTCTCTAGTAAAAACAAACAAATAAATATATGAGAAAATGTTTGTTTTTATTTGTAGTTAAAGAAAAATACAGGCCAGATGTGGTAGCTTATGCCTATAATCCCAGCATTTTGAGAGTTCTGGGTGAACAGATTACTTGAGTCTGGAAATTTGAGACTAGTCTGGGCAACATGGCAAAACATCATACCTGCAATAAAAAATAAAAAAATTAGCCAGGCATGGTAGTCCACACTGTGGTCCTAGCTACTTGGGAGGCTGAGATAGGAGGATTGCTTGAGCCCAGTAGGAGGAGGTTGCAGTGAGCCAAGATCATGTCATTGCATTCCAGCCTGGGCAACAGAGTGAGACCCTTTATCAAAAAAGAAAAGAAAAGAACAAATTAGTAAAGGGAAAAATTTTATGCTACTACATTAGCAGATATATTTAAATATTGTAATACCTAGTGCTTGTGGGTATCCAGTATATTAATGCATTGCTCATAGTAGTATAAATTTATATTACCCTTTTCATCAAAACTATAAACGTGCCTGGGCTGGTCTTGAACTCCTTTTCTCAAGTGATCCTCCCACCTCAGTCTCCCTAAATGCTGAGATTACAGGCACGAACCACTGCTCCTGGCCCCTATGGTTTTATTTGAACATTTTGTGTAATTCTATTTTCCATTCTCTTTTAGCATATTAATTAGACTTCCTTTAAAAATTTTTGTAGTGTTTTCCCTAGACTTTTTAATATCTGTTTACAACTAATCTAAGTCTACTTTCAAGTAATACTGTATCACTTCCTAGATAGTGCAGAGATACCTTGTAACAGAATACTCCCAATTTTTCCCTTCTGTACCTTATATTTCTGTCATTTATTTCACTTACTGATAAACTGTAACTGCTCAATACACTTATACTATTACTATTTTGAACAAATAATCTTCTATTAGCTCAAGTAAGAATATGAAAATACAAAATTTTATTTTACTGTTGTTTGCTGACCTTGCTCCTTTTATTTTGTTTTGTTTTTTAGAGACAGGTCTTGCTATGTTGCCCATGCTGGAGTTCAGCTATTGCCAGGCATGACCATAGTGCACTGCAGCCCCAAACTCCTGGGCTCAAGTGCTTTTCCCACCTCAACTTCCCAGTAGCTGGGACTGCAGGCATGCCGCACACTGTACCCTGCTTTTCCTTCATTTATTATTTCTGATCTGTATCATTTTATTTCTCTCTGGAAAATTCTTTTAATATTTCTTAATTTTTAATTAAGAAATTTCTTAATTTCTTAAAATTTTTAATATTTAAAAATGGAGAGAGATCCAAGATGGCTGATCGCTAACAGCTCGGGATTGTAGCTCCCAGTGAAAGTGCAGAGAACGAGAGGAAGCCACACTTTCAGACGAATTTTCGTCACTCACAGTCCAGAAGATTCACAGTGGAGGAGCCCCACGGATGGCCAGCACGACTCCCGTGGCCGGCGCAGCAGTTTTGCTGGCACCTCGGCGCAGCAGCTCTTCGTGCAGAGTAAACGGGACTGGTTCCCCTACTGACCAATGCTTGGAGCTCCGGGAAGGCACAGCCGCTTGTTACAGACTCAAGAAGGAAGCCAGACTGGAGATTCTTAGGCAAAAGAGCACCATCAGTCTTATCGCTGCTGTTTCGGCCAGCGCAGTGGGTTGCTCGAATTCCAGCACTGGGAATCAATAAATTGGACATCCACTCAGAAACCTAATTAGAAGGGCGGTAATTGTAAAGACAACAGATGGATAAATTCATAATAAAGGGTAGAAACCAGCCTAAAAAGGCCGAGAATACCCCAAATCAGAACCCCTCTCCTTCTACAGGGGATTGCAGTTCCTTATCAGCAACGGAACAAGCCCTGATGAAAAAGAACTCTATTCCATTATTTGAAGTAGGCTTCAGAAGGTGGATGATAAAAAACTTCTGGGAGTTAAAAGAACTTGTTCTAACCCAATGTAAAGAAACTAAGAACTTTGAAAAAAGGTTTGACAAAATGCTAAATAGACAATATAGAGAGGAATATAAATGAACTAACGGAGTTGAAAAATACAACACGAGAACTTAGTGAAATATGCACAAGTTTGAATAGCCGAATTGATCAAGCAGAAGAAAGGATATCAGAGGTTGAAGACCAACTTAAAGAAATAAAATAAGAAGACAAGAATAGAGAAAAAAGGATAAAAAGGAATGAGCAAAGTCTCCAAGAAATATGGGACTATGTGAAAAGACCTAATTTACATTTGATAGGTGTACCTGAATGTGACGGAGAGAATGAATCCAAGCTGGAAAATACTCTTCAGGATATTATCCAGGAAAATTTTTTCCCAATCTAGCAAAGCAGGACACTATTCAACCCCAGGTAATACAGAGAACACCACAAAGATATTCCTCAAGAAGAGCAACCCAAGGGACATAATCGTTAGATTCACCACGGTTGAAAGGAAGGAGAAAATACTAAGGGCAGCCAGAGAGAAAGGTCAGGTTACCCACAAAGGGAAGCCTATTAGACTTACAGCAGATCTCTCAGAGGAAACCCTACAAGCCAGCAGAGTATGGGGGCCAATATTCAACATCCTTAAAGAACAGAACTTTCAGCCCAGAATTTCATATCCAGCCAAACTAAGCTTCACAATTGAAGGAAAAATAAAATCTTTTATGAACAAGCAAGTACTCAGATTTTATAACCACCAGGCCTGCTTTACAAGAACTTCTGAAAGAAGCATTACACACAGAAAGGAACAACCAGTATTAGCCTTTCTAAAAATACCAAAAAGTAAAGAACATCAACATAAAGAAGAATTTACATCAACGAATGGATAAAATAGCCAGTTAACATCAAATGGCAGTAACCCTAAATTTAAATCGATTAAATCCCCCAATCAAAAGATACAGCCAAAACCTAACAGTTTACTACATCCAGACCCATTTTATATCCAAAGATACACAAAGACTCAAAAAAGGGATGGAGAAAGATTTACCAACCAAATGGAGAGCAAAAATAAATAAATAAACAAAAACAGGAGTTGCAATTCTCACATTTGATAAAATAGTTTTCAAAGCAACAAAGATACAGTGGTAAAAGGATCAATGCAACAATAAGAGCTAACGATCCTAACACCCAGATACATAAGATGCATAAAAAGATTTAGACTCAACGAGACAGAAAATTAATAAGGATATCCAAGACTTGAACTCAGATCCGGAACAAGTAAACTTAATAAATATTTATAGAGCTCTCCACTTTAAATACACAAAATATACATTCTCCACTTTAAATACACAAAATAGTGCTCGCTTCGGCAGCACATATACTAAAATTGGAACGATACAGAGAAGATTAGCATGGCCCCTGCGCAAGGATGACACGCAAATTCGTGAAGCGTTCCATATTTTTACTCAAACAGATTTACAGGAAAAAAACAAGCCCATTCAAAAGTGGGCAAAGGATATGAACAGATACTTTATGAAAGAAGACATATATGAGGCCAACAATCATATGAAAAAATGCTCATTGTCACTGGTCATCAGAGAGATGCAAATCAAAACCACATTGAGATACCATCTCACGCCAGTTAGAATGGTGATCATTAAAAAATCTGGAGACAACAGATGCTGGAGAGGATGTGGAGAAAAAGGAACACTTTTACACTGTTGGTGGGAGTGTAAATTAGTTCAACCATTGTGGAAGACAGTGTGGCGATTCCTCAAGGCCTTAGAAATAGAAATTCCATTTGACCCAGCAATCCCATTACTGGGTATATATCCAAAAGTCTGTAAATCGTTCTACTATAAGGACACATGTACACGAATGTTCATTGCAGCACTGTTTGCAATAGCAAAGACCTGGAATCAACCCAAATGCCCATTGATAATAGACTGGATTGGAAAAATGTGGCACATATACACCATGGAATATTATGCAGCAATCGGAAATGATGAGTTTGTGTCGTTTGTAGGGACATGGATGAATCTGGAGAACATCATCCTCAGCAAACTGACACAAGAACAGAAAATGAAACACCGCATATTCTCACTCATAGGTGGGTGATGAAAAATGAGAACACATGGACACAGAAAGGGGAGTACTAAACACTGGGGTCTATTGGGGGGAAAAGGGGAGGGCCAGTGGGAGGGGGAGGTGGGGAGGGATAGCCTGGGGAGAAATGCCAAATGTGGGTGAAGGGGAGAAGAAAAGCAAAGCACACTGCCATGTGTTTACCTACGCAACTGTCTTGCATGCTCTGCTCATGTACCCCAAAACCTAAAATCCAATAAAAATTAAAAATAAATAAATAAATACACAAAATATTGATCGGCCATTATTAATACCCATTTTTAGAATAAAGCAATATTCCTGTTCTCTCTCCCTCTTTTTCTTCCTCTTTCTTCCTCTCCTTCTCTCCTTTTTTTTCTTTCAAAAAAAAAATAAATAAAAATAAAAGAAAATTATCTCTAGGCACCAATTCCTTTTATGGAAAAAAGTGATATTTTCTGAACTCCACCTGCGACATACAAACAATGAGCATAAAATCTTACAAATTATATAAATAACATATTTTTAAAAAATATTTCTTGCTAAGCATTTCTACTAGCACTAAGTACCCTCAGTTTTTATTTGTTTGAGAAACTATTTTTCCTTTTTTTTTTTTTGAGACACATAATGATTTAATGTTTACTTACAAATCCTTTACTCACATAATTTCAAGTACTGAGTCATTCTGGAATTCATACATTCTGACATTAAGAACATTCACATGTTGTGCAGCCATCATCACCATCCATTTCCAGAACTTTTTCATCATCCCAAACTGAAACTCTTTATCCATTAAACAATAACTTCCCGTATCACCTCACCCTGACCCCTGGAAAGCACTGTTCTACTTTCTGCTTCTATGAATTGTGCTATTCTTGTTTCCTTGTGTACATGAATCCTACAATATTTGGCCTTTAGCATCATATCCTCAAGGTTCATCCCTGTTGTACTATATATATCAGAATTTTCTTCCTTTTTCAGGCTGAATAATATTCCATTGTATGTATATATACTACATTTTGTTTATTCATTTATCTGTTGATGGACATGTGGGTTACTTCTACATTTTAGCTATTGTGAGTAATGCTGCTATGAACATAGGTGTACGAGTATCTCTTCATAACCCTGCTTTCAGTTATTTTGGGTATACATCTAAGAAGTGGCATTGCTGCATCATATGGAAATTCTATTTTTAATTTTCTGAGGAACCTCCACAGTGTTTTCCACAGAGGCTGCACCATTTTACATGCCCACCAACACTGCACAAGAGTTCCAATTTCTCCACATCCTTGCCAGTGTTTGTTATTTTCTGGCTTTTTGATCCTAAGTGGTGTGAAGTAGTATCTCATAAGGTTTTTTATTTTGTGTTTTCCTAATGATTAGAGATGTTTGGCATCTTTCCTATGCTTATGGGTCATTTTTCTGTTTATCTTCTTTAGAGAAAAGTGTATTGTCATTTGCCCTTTTTTTTTTAAGGTAGGGTCTCACTTTGTCACCCAGACCAGAGTGCAAGGACATGATCATAGCTCACTGCAACCTCTATCACCTGGGCCCATGCAATCCTCCTACCTCAGCCTTCTGAGTAGCTGAGACTAAAGCACATACCATCATGCCTGGCTAATATTTTAAAAAATTTTGGTAGAGACAGGGTCTTGATTTGTTGCCTAGGCTGACCTCTAACTCCTGGGCTCAAGCAATCTTCCTGCCTCAGCCTCCCGAAGTGCCGGGATTGCAGATGTGAGACATTGCACCTATTCTTGTATGTTTCTTATATATAAGAATTTATGCTGGGCACAGTAGCTCACGCCTGTAATCCCAGCACTCGTGGATCACCTGAGTTCAGGAGTTCAAGACCAGCCTGGCCCACATGGCAAGACCCCATCTCTACTAAAAATACAAAAATTCCCCAGGCAAGGTGGTACACACCTATAATCCCAGCTACTCTGGAAGCTAAGGCAGGAGAATCACTTGAACCCCAGAGGCAGAGGTTGCAGTGAGCTGAGATCACACTACTGCACTCTAGCCTGGGCAACAGAATGAGACTCCATCTCAAAAAAAAAAAAAAAAAGAAAGAAATTATGGCTGGGTGCAGTGGGAGACTGGGACAGGAGAATTACTTGAGCTCAGGAGTTTGAGACCAGCCTGGGCAACATGATGAGACCTCGTCTGTACTTAAAAAAAAAAAAGATTGGTGTGGTGATACATGACTATAGTTCCAGCCACTCAGGAGGCTGAGGCAAGAAGATCACTTTAGCTCAGGAGGTGGAGAGTGCAGTGATCCATGATAGTGCCACTGCATTCCAGCCTGGGTGGCAGTTTGAGATACTCTCAAAAAAAAAAAAGTTATGTACACTGAAATATTTATGATGGTTATAATGGCAAAGGAGGGGAAAGGAACAGGGACTTTTATTCTTGTGCTGTAATACCTCTGAATTTTTAAATTAAACATAAGAAAATAGGATTGAAAGCTGTAAGTATACTGTGATTACAAGTACATTAAAATAATATAAATGAGAAAATTACTGGAAGAGTACCATAAAATAATAATGGGTCAACATACATTTTTCTCTTTATGCTTTTCAGTTATTGCAGTTATACTATGGTCACAATATACCTTTTTATACGAAGGAGAAAACAACTAGAAAAGTTGTCACTAAATACTAAAGCTACTCTTCAAAGCAGTATACTTTCAAATTTAACAGCATCGCTGTAGTACTCCTGTATTGGCGTTATTTTTGGTATTCTGTGGTACAATGATGTATTTTAAGGGGGAAACATAGTAGCTTTATTTTCAGTATGTAAAACTATTTTCAGGTCTTGTTTTCTGACTAGAGGTTTTGCATCTGTTTCATAGCGGAAGTGAAACGTGTAGGAGACACACTTTTGGGTATGGCTACACAATGTGTTCAAGTCAAGAATGTAATAAAAACATCTCCTCAAACTCTCTCAAACTTGTGCCTAAAGATAAATGTTAAACTTGGAGGGATCAATAATATTCTTGTACCTCATCAAAGGTAAGAGATGCTAATTGCTTGTGAAAATATTATTTTTATATCTTCACTTGTCTATATATGACCATATGTAACTACTATGAGAGTTGTGAAAGAGACACCCTTAATAACTCCTACTGTGGGAGATTCATAGACATTTTAGTAAAAAATTAAAATAATTTGGATCGTCAAAGTTCAGAGATTCTCTTGTGAAAGTGCCCTCCAACAATTTTATTTTACTTTTGAAGTAAAGAATGAAGCAACAAAAGCAGAGATTTATTGAAAATGAATGGGAGTGGGCCCCAGCATAGGGGCTCAAGCCCCAACAATTTACATTTAGTATGCAAAGTGCATCTTAGCCAGAAAGTATCCAGAGCTTTATTTCTTACTGGAGAGCCCATCTTGAAGAATTTTCAGTTTATTTGGTAGTCATCTTCAACCTGGTTTCATGAGACTTCTCACTTACCTGGAATGTGAAGGAGAGAAGGCCTGGGGGCCCAGATTGGTCAATTAAGTAAGATATATTAGCCTTCCTGCTATAGTCAGTGAGACAACATTTTATTGTTAGATCACCGCTATTAGAGCTGGAATCTTAGGGTGTATGAGACCTCATGACCTAGAAACAGGAGGTAGCTTATTGTGGGAGTCACTGAGGAAGAGGCCAATTTTCAGAGAATTGAACAAGCTCTCTTTTCATAGTTGAAGCAATTAGGCCTCTTTTTCCATACCACTTCTACTTTCTACCCCTGTTAAATATGAGATGAGATCTGTAAATGAGATAAATGTAGAATTTTATCAACAAGTCCAACATGGTGAAACCTCATCTCTACAAAAGATAGAAAGATTAGCCATATGTGGTGGCACATGCCTGTTGTTGCAGCTATTCCAAAGGCTGAGGTGGAAGGATTACCTGAGCCCAAGGACATCAAGGCTGCAGTGAACGGTGATCGCGCCGCTACACTCCAGCCTGGGCAACACAGCGAGACCCTGTCTCAAAAAAAAATAAACGAAACAATAACAACATAAAATAAAATAAAAGGAAATGCTAGCTACTTTATGATTATTGAATATATGTTACTCATCTTTATACTCTTGGCCAGGGAGTTGGAGTAGTGGATTCCCAAAATCCCTTCCAGTCTAAAGTGTAATGAGTCCTTTTTTCCTTAAGAAACATAGGTTTACAATACAAGTCGATTTTTAAAGAGTGATAAAAATTTGTAGGTCATGATAATGAAGTTTATAATTTTGTGCCCATCATGGAGAATACTAGCACCTGTTGCCCTTTCAGCACAACTATTTTAGGCAAAATTCTGCTCGGAATAAGACTTTGGATTACATAGGACTTCCTCTGTGCTGTCAATAACTTTAAGTTATGTTGTAATTGTGTGAAACAGATAAATGGATAACGAAAAAATGAGATACCTAACTCTTTTTAAAAATGTGTTTAAGACCTTCTGTGTTCCAGCAACCAGTGATCTTTTTGGGAGCCGATGTCACTCATCCACCTGCTGGTGATGGGAAGAAGCCTTCTATTGCTGCTGTGAGTGTTAGCCAGGTTTATCTTATCTAAAGTTTACAGACCAGTATCAATTTTGCAGTTTCAACTTTTTGAATTTTAACATTTTCTTTTTAGCCAACTTTCATAAATGTTCTTTGGGTTTTTGAAAATAATGATTATTCTCTGGTTTAGGGTTTACAAGTTCCGTATGTGTATATTATATCAAGTTTGCTAGTTATATTATTCAAATCTTCTGTATTCTACTTTAATTTGTCTACTCGACCTCTCCATGATTATGCATTTTAGTTACTTTTTGTTGTTTGAGTAGTTTTTATATATTTCAGTAATGTCTTCATCATAGAGAGATGCACTACATATAAGCTTGGTGGATTATATTTTTTTACATATAAAGTGTCTTCCACCTTTATCCAATTCAATGCTTTGCACCTGAATTCTTTATTTTATTTATTTTGTTTTTTTCAGACAGAGTCTCACTTTTGTTGCCTAGGCTGGAGTGCAATGGCACGATCTCAGCTCACCGCACCCTCCACCTCCTCCACCTCCCGGGTTCAAGCTATTCTCCTGCCTCAGTCTCCCGAGTAGCTGGGACTACAGGCACCCGCCACTATGCCCAGCTACTTTTTTGTGCTTTTAGTAGAGACAGGGTTTCACCAAGTTGGCCAGACTAGTCTTGAACTCCTGACCTCAGGCTATCCACCCATCTCACCCACCAAAAGTACTGGGATTACAGGCGTGAGCCACCGTGCCTGGACAAATTTTTAATTTTAATATTGCCACTCCTCCTTTTAACATCTGCCTGTTATTTCTTTGCTCACCTCTATATTTGTAACCTTTTTGGGTCAGTTTAAGTGTATTTCTTATAAACTTGAGAAATATTTTACCCCTGTTGAAAATCACTTGATTTTGTTTTTGTTATTGTTGAGATGAAGTCTCACTCTTGTTGTCCAGTCTGGAGTGCAATGGCACGATCTGGGCTCACTGCAACCTCTGCCTCCTAGGTTCAAGCGATTCTCCTGTCTCAGCCTCCCCAGTAGCTGGACTACAGGCGTGTGCCACCATGCCCAGCTAAGTTTTGCATTTTTAGTAAAGATAGGATTTTACCATGTTGGCCAGGCTGGTCTCGAACTCCTGACCTCAGGTGATCTGCCCACCTTGGCCTTCCAAACTGCTGAAATTACAAGCATGAGACACTGCGCCCAGCCAAAAAATCACTTGATTTTAACAAATGCCAATATTTTGAAAATGTGAACTTATTTTAGGCACAGTTAATACCCAGAAATTAAACTAAAAGATTTAATTGGCCAGGCATGGTGGTTTATGCCTGTAATCCCAACACTTTGAGAGACTGAAGCAGGTAGATCACTTGAGGTTAGGAGTTCAAGACCAGCCTGGCCAACAAGGTGAAGCTCCATCTCTATGAAAAATGCAAAATTAGCCAGGCATGGTACTGGGTACCTTTAATTCCAGCTACTCAGGAGGCTGTGGCAAGAGAGTTGCTTGAACCCGGGAGGCAGAGGTTGCAGTAAACCAAAATCACAACACTGCACTCCAGCCTGGGCAACAGAGTAAGACACTGTCTCAAAAAAAAAAAAGATTTAGTATTTTTTCTATGATCCATTATAATCTTTACATAAATCTTAAGTCTTATTAATCTAATAAATCTAATTCATCCCTGAAAATGACAGTAATATTTAAATTTTCACTTAAAAATTTTAAAGCTGTTTTTATTAATAAAGGAAATTAATTTTTATTCTGTTGCTTTGTATTTTTAATGTTATACATGAATTATTTTCTTTAAATGTTCAGTAGTTGTATTGAGTCATCTCTAATATTCATTAAAATGTTGTTATGGAAGTAAAGAAAGGAACTCAAAAGACTTCTTTGGATTTGCTACTTTGGGGTCACTTTCCAAGAAGGTTTAAAGCATATTTTAATTCCTTTGAACTTCTGGTAGTCATTGTCTTTTTCTACTAAATCCATTTCTACCAAATACCCATTTTCTTTTATGGTTATCAGAAGTCTGGTAAATAGAATTTATTTGTTGATTCTTTTTTGCTATATGGCTTCTATTCCCAAGAACTTAGAGAGTAGTGTGAGAAACTAATGTAAGTAATGAGTGCCACAAAGTATAATAGGTGTTATCATGATAACGAGGTAACAACATTTATGTTGCAAGAACCTGGTGTGTTTTGGGAATATTGAGAAATACAAGAATTTGGAACGTTAGTATACTGCAGGCTATAAGGCTAGGAAGCTTTTGTGAGGCATTTTGCTCCATCCAAGGGGTATGGATTTATTCTTAGCAGCAAGATACCCTTCAAGGGAAAGAAATGGTCAAAGTTCCATTTTTGAAGCATGACTTCGATATAGGTTACCTGGAAGAGAGTCTGGAGGCAGTGACCAGTGACCAGCCTAGACTCTGATCACAATAATGTTATAAGTTCATGCTTTAAGGTCTCTTCTCTAAAGACATAACAATATTAGACACAGAAAGAGAAAATTAATATAGACAATTTCAAAACCAAGATTAACTTCTCTGAGGACCAGATACAGAGCACAAATACAGCTCAATAAGACTGAGCATAGATCCAAGCCAAAAGGGAAAATTCTGATTTTAAAATTTATGAAGCATAACAGTTCTAAGATGAAGCTAAAATCTTAAGTATGGCTTCTGAAATAGGTTGCTAAAGTGAAAGAGATAGGAAGAAAAATCAGTGGTTTGAACTGGTCTTCGTTTTTACTTATTTCCTTTCTCTTATTCTCTTATGCACATCTTTTTGTCTTTTTCTTTTCTCACTAATCTTTAAGTAAACCAACAACACAAAGAATCTAATTGTTAAGTGTATAGTTCAGCCTAGTTATAGGAAAATAGTTTTTTACCCTATACTAGTGTTTTGTTCTGTTGTTCACTGGGAAGTACTATTTTTCTTTAAAGGTTTTAAAGAGATGGGATAGGCTGGGCACAGTGGCTCACACCTGTGATCCCAACACTTTGGGAGGCTGAGGCCGGCAGATCACAAGGTCAAGAGATCAAGACTATCCTGGCCAATATAATGAAATCCCATCTCTACTAAAAATACAAAAATTAGCTGGATGTAGTGGCACATGCCTGTAGTTCCAGCTACTCAGGAGGCTGAGGCAGGAGAATCACTTGAACCCAGGAGGCAGAGGTTGCAGTGAGCTGAGATGGCGCCACTGCACTCTAGCCTGGCAACAGAGCAAGACTCTGTCTCAAAAAAAAAAAAAAAAAAGAGAGAGAGAGAAAGAGAGAGAGAGAGAGATGGAGCCTTGCTATTTTGCCCCAGCTAGCTTCAAATTCCTAGGCACAAGTGATCCTCCTACCTCAGCTTCCTGAGTAGCTAGGACTACTCAGGCACATGCCATTGTATCCAACTCAGAATTACTGTTTTTGATTACTCTCAAAGTAAAGTGATAAATGTAAGGCTAAGGTAAAATAAAAATGTAAATTAAATTCATGTAATTTTGATTATCTTTATTTCTTTTTTTTTTTAACTTTTTCCAACCTAGGTTGTAGGTAGTATGGATGCCCACCCAAGCAGATACTGTGCCACAGTAAGAGTTCAGAGACCCCGACAGGAGATCATCCAGGACTTGGCCTCCATGGTCCGGGAACTTCTTATTCAGTTTTATAAGTCAACTCGGTTCAAGCCTACTCGTATCATCTTTTATCGGGATGGTGTTTCAGAGGGGCAATTTAGACAGGTTGGTTGCCTAGAACCTCATCAGACTATGGTGAAATCAGATATTGTGTTTATAATGTGGTGTCTAGTTCTGGAGTTAAAAAGCTTGTTAGAGTTCCCAAGTCAAAACTTGGTATTTTCTTAGATTTTCTTTTTGAAAATGTTCGTTGTGAGTATGTATGCCTTGCTTGCTAAGACCATGTTCTGCTAATCGTTAAAATGGAATCAAGAAGCATATTAGTTATAGAGCGAGGAGATTAAGGAATCCTGAGATTAGATCATTATTCTACTTTGAAGTATATAAAAACAAATAGCTGACTGTATTGAATCTTTCTGTGTTTTATTCTCTAGGTATTATATTATGAACTACTAGCAATTCGAGAAGCCTGCATCAGTTTGGAGAAAGACTATCAACCTGGAATAACCTACATTGTAGTTCAGAAGAGACATCATACTCGATTATTTTGTGCTGATAGGACAGAAAGGGTAATCTCACCTCTGTTGTAATACTATTATAAACCAAGCTTATTCAACAGAGTTCATAGAGCACTCAACGAGGGCCCTCTGCCAATAACAGGGTTTCCAGTATATAGTGGCAGATTTCAACAATTATGAGTATAGAAATAGGTTATTTTTGACTTAATAGAATTTCTAGTCACACTCCAAATGTCCAAAATCTCATTCTACTTTTTTGTTGTGAAGAAACTGATAGTTTTAAAATTATTCTTCTATTCATATTTTTTAAAAATATTCAGGAAAAAAGGTGCATTCTCTTTTTAAAATATCTTGTACAAATTAGTGTTTTTAAAAAGCAGAAGTTCAGGCCAGGTGCGGTGGCTCATGTCTATAATTCCAGCACCTTGGGAGGCCAAGGCCGGCAGATTGCTTGAGGTCAGGAATTCAAGACTTGCCTGGCCAACATGGTGAAACACTGTCTCTACTAAAAATACAAAAATTAGCCGGGCACGGTGGTGCACATCTGTAATCCCAGCTACTCGTGAGGCTGAGGCAGGAGAATTGCTTGAACCCAGGAGGCAGAGGTTGCAGTGAGCTGAGATGGTGCCACTGCACTCCATCCTGGGCAACAGAGCAAGACTCCATCTCAAAAAAAAAAAGTGGAAATTTATGCAAACTAATTTTTAAGCCATGTTTCCTTTAAAGTTCACAGAATTAATTATTTTATGCATTTTATAATGTGAATGTATGTGTTTTATAATTAGGAAAGAGATATAAATACCTAAGGAAATATGTTTTTTTATCTGTGTGCAGCAAGACGGCAGTCTTACTGTCATATTTAGTGCTCTGATCCCATCTGCCCTCATCCTGCAAATCTTGGAGCAGAGAAATCTAGTGATACCAAGTGTTGTGTCCCCTTGAGAAAGGGATTTGATAGAAAGGAACTAAGGAGTGTTTGGTCTTTGGCATACATACTCACTGTGCTCCTTTGGTCAAGCAACCTAACATCTCTGTTCCTGTTTATTTCTTAGCAAGATTGGATAATATTGATATTATTCAACCGTATATGGGTTGTTGGGAGAATTAAATAAAATACGTAATGTACTTAGAACAGGGTTTGGCCCATACTAAGTACTCAGTAAAGTTTGGCTAGTTCTCATTAGTAGAGTGAGGGGAACAAAAAAAAAAATTAATAAATACAGTTTGGCTAGCTGCAGAGGGGTGGTGATAGTGGTGGTAATAGAGAAGAAGAAATAATAATAGTAGACATTGTTCTAAGTATTGCTTATAAATTTAATCAATGTAATTCTCACCAACAACATTATGAGGTAGTTTTGTTTTGGTTTTGGTTTTGTTTCTGTTTCTGTTTTTGTGACAGTTTCACTCTGTTGCCCAGGCATGATCATGCAGTGGCATGATCTCAGCTCACTGCAACCTCCACCTCTCAGGTTCAAGTGATTCTCCTGCCTCAGCCTCCTGAGTAGCTGGGATTACAGCATGTGCCACCACACCCGGCTAATTTTTGTATTTTTGTTAAAGACAGGGTTTTAACATGTTGGCCAGGCTGGTCACAAACTCCTGGCCTCAAGTGATCCACCCACCTCAGCCTCCCAAAGTGCTGGGATTGTCGGTGTGAGCCATCACACCCAGCCTACAACTTTTTCTATGTATTAATTAGAAGATTTATGTGTTGTTAATTTATTAGAGTTAAGTGTTTTTTTTAAACTTAACTTAGTTTTAGCGTAGTTTAGTAGATTATAAACTTAGCGTAGTTTAGTAGATTATAAACTGTTTTGTTTTGTGCTTGGTAAAGTGTAGCTAGTTGTTCCACACGGCTATAATTCAAGATACCACCTTGTAACAGTCATCACATGGCAAAAATAATATCTGAGTCAGTAAAATAGTTTCCGATTTGCTAGCATTGTAAACCAGACTTACAGTTAATTTTAAATGTGTTGGTATAGGGCAGTGGAGGCAGGTATAATAAGCATTTTTAAGTCTTTTATAAGGAGCTTGCATTATCAAGAATTTTGAGTCATTTCAGTTATATACACTCAGAGAAAATCATAGTATCTGTTCTTGTACAAGATGTTGAAACTGGTAGTATGAAATAAAAGGAATAAGGCCTTTGCAATTATTTCATTATTTGAATCTCAGTTCTGCCCTTTATTGTGTGCTATTGAGCGAATCATTTTGTATTCCTGAACCTTTATTTCGCTAAACAAATGGAAATAATCTCTAACTTGCAGGATTGTTATCAGGATTTAGGAATAATGTGTTTAAAGTGCCTGACACATAAATGGTTAACAAATGGTGTGACTATTGTTGATGTTGTCAGCATTCTCTCTCTCTAAACATCTAGTTGTCTCCAAGATAAATGCTTATTTTCATATATCACATGCTCAAGAATACCTACTATGCACAGGTACCATAAACTGGAGCACTTTAAGTTAATTAAAAAAAAATTTTTTTTTAGTGTCTTTGCCCGTACAACTATTAGCGAAGCATGTAGTAGAGACTGTATAAGACTTTGTTGAGTATCAGCATTCCCTTTTAGCAACATTTAGGAACAGGAACCAGGACCTGCATAAGGTCTGCTCTGAATGATTGCTTAAGTTATATTTCAAAGTGAAAGTAGTGAACATAGGATCGGCCTATATATGCATACATTTTTTAAAGTGCTTTCAGATACATTTTTTACCTTTTTCTTGTTTGTTTAAACTTTGACCAAACAAATCTAGGTTGGAAGAAGTGGCAATATCCCAGCTGGAACAACCGTTGATACAGACATTACGCATCCATATGAGTTTGATTTTTACCTCTGTAGCCATGCTGGAATACAGGTAAGCCTACACTTTGGGTAAAATATTTTAATACAAGAACTGTCATTCTTACATGTATTTTTTTAATCTAAGAAAAAAGATAAAGAAATACTCTTTGCATTCCAACTTGTTCCCATATGAAATTAAATGAAACTTTCAGTAAACAAATGTCTTCCCTTTCCTTACCTTGAGAGGGGCTTAGGAACTTACTTTTATGAAAATACCAGACTATAAGTAGCTTAATAGAATGCATTTCCCTAAAACAGGCCCTTAATTTACCTAAAATGTTTTTTTAAAAAAATGTAGAAGTACCTAATTGTTCCTTTAGCATATGCCTCTTTAAAAAGAGAGCGAGAAAAAAAAAATGCTCTTTTGCTCAGGCTGGACTAGAACTCTTGAGCTCAAGCAGTCCTCCCACCTCATCTCTCAAGTAGCTGGGACAACAGGCATGTACCATTGCACTCAGCTAATGATGATAACATTTTATAGAAAACTTTGACATTTACTGGTAGGTATTAAGCATGTGAAAGAGTTTAATTGGGCTGGGTGTGGTAGCTCATGCCTAAAATCTCAACACTTTGGGAGGCTGAGATGGGCAGATTGCTTGAGCTCAGGAGTTCAAGACCAGCCTGGGCAACATAGAGAAACCCTGTCTCTATTTAAAAAAACAAAAATTCCCCAGGCATGGTAGCATGTGCCTATAGAGGAACTATATAGCTGGAATATGTTTTGCTCCAGGGGCAAGTAGCCATGACCCCTTTATCATTGAGGCTGTCACCAAATTAACCCAACCCAGTGGCCTGACAGTCCTGTTGAGCTGCAACCACCTGTCACACCTTGCTCCTTGGCCACTTAAAGGGGTTATACCTTGGCTGGGCATGGTGGTTCACACCTGTAATCCCAGCACTTTGGAAGGACAAGGAGGGCGGATCACCTGAGGTCAGGAGTTCAAGAACAGCCTGGCCAACATGACAAAACCCCATCTCTACTAAAAACACAAAAAACTTAGCCAGACATGGTGGCACACACGCCTGTAGTCCCCGTTGCTCTGGAGGCTAAGGAAAGAGAATTGCTTGAACTCGGGTGGCGGAGGTTGGCAGTGAACAGAGATCACACCACTGCATTCCAGCCTGGGCGACAGAGCAAAACTCTATCTCTATAAAACATAAATAAAAGAGAGAGAGATCATACCTTTCCAGTGCCTAAGTAGTACCTTGCATCTCAGGAAGCAGTGCCTTAGTCACCCAGAGCAGTCACACAGTCCAGTACCTAAGCTGAAGCAGTTCCCTGCGTATCAGGGAAACCATGTCTGGGCTACCCAGAACAGGCATAGTCCCCATGCCTGGGCTTAAGTGACACTGGGGAATTGGTGCTGTGGAAGAGCTGAGCAGCTCTGTGTCCCATAGATACTGGGATAGCCCAAATATATTGAGATATAAGAAAATACCAATAGACAACTCAACAAAATCAGGAAAGTAATTCACAATATGAACAAGAAATTCAACAAAAATATAAAAATTAAAAAAGAATCAAACAGTAATCAGCAGCTGAAGAATTCAATGGAAAATACAATAGAGAACTTCAACAGCAGATTTGATCAAGCAGAAGAAAGAATCTCTGAACCTGAAGATAGGTAATTTGGAAAAAGATCCGAGTCAGAAAAAAAAAAAAAATGTAAGAATGAAAAGAGTGAAGAGAGCCTCTGAGACTTATGGAAGACTAGTAAGCAAATAAATATTTGTATTATGGGAGTTCCAGAAGGAGAATAGAAAGGGAAAGTGTAGAAAATCTACTTAATGACATAACAGGTCGAGCGTGGTAGCTTACACCTGTAATCCTAACACTTTGGGAGGCCAAGGTGGGCAGATTGCTTTAGCTCAGGAGTTTGAGACCAGCCAGGGCAACATGGTGAAACACTGTCACTACAAAAAATACAAATATTATCCAGGCATGCTGGCATGCACCTACCTCTAGTTCCAGCTACTCAGTGGGCTGAGGCAGGAGGATCACTTGAGCCTGGGAGGTCAAGGCTGTGTAGCAAGCCTAGATCACACCACTATACTCTAGCCTGGGGTGACAGAGTGAGACCCTGTCTCAAAAATAATAATAATAACTGAAAACTTCCCAAATCTGGGGAAAAATGTGGACATGTAGATCTAGGAGGTTCAAAAGTCCACAAACAGATCCAGCGCTTAAAGGTTCTTCCCAAGGCACATTGTAGTCCAATTGTCAAGTCAAAGACAGACAGAATTCTAAAAACAGCAGAAAAGCATCAAGTCACTTAGAATCCTCGTTAAACTAACAGCAGACTTTGTCACAGAAACCTAATAGGCCTGGAGAGATTGAGATGATATATTCAAAGTGCTGAAAGAAAACAATTATCAGCCAAGAATACTGTAGCCAGTTAAGTATCATTTGAGCTCAGGAGGCAGAGGTTCCAGTGAACTGTGGTTGTGCCACCATACTCCAGCCTGGACTGCAGATTGAGACTGTCTCAATAAATAAATAAAGGCCGGGCGCAGTGGCTCACGCCTATAATCCCAGCACTTTGGGAGGCCGAGGCGGGTGGATCACAAGGTCAAGAGATCAAGACCATCTTGGTCAACAAGGTGAAACCCCATCTCTACTAAAAATACAAAAATTAGCTGGGCATGATGGCACGCGCCTGTAGTCCCAGCTACTTAGGAGGCCGAGGCAGGAGAATTGCTTGAACCCAGGAGGCAGAGGTTGCAGTGAGCCGAGATCGCACCATTGCACTCTAGCCTGGGTAACGAGCGAAACTCCATCTCAAAAAATAAATAAATAAACAAACAAATCAGTATTCTATATCCAGCAAAGCTATCCTTTAGAAGTGAGGGAGAAATAGTCTTTCCCAGACATGCAAAAACTGAGGAAATTTATCACCACTAGATTTGACCTACAGAAAGTGTTCAAGGGAATCCTACATCTGGAGGCAAAAAGTCAGCAATTGTTATTATGGAAACACTCAACCGTATAAAACTCACTGGTAGAACAGATACAAAAGAGAGAAAGAGAAAAGATTCATACCTTATTGCTCTACAGAAAACCACCAACCCACAATGATAAACAAGAAAGGAAGAAAGGATATATAAAACAAGCAGAAAACAATTAACAAATTACAGAAGTAGGTCTCTAGCTATCAGTAGTATCCTTGAATGTAAACAAATTGCCCACTGCAAAGATGTAGACTGGCTAAAGGAAATTTTTGCTCACTCTGGTGCCCAGGCTGGAGTGCAGTGGTGCAGTCTCAACTCACTGCAACCTCTGCCTCCCAGGCTCGGGCTCAGGCAATTTTCTTATCCCAGCCTCCTGAGTGACTGGGGCTACAGGCATGCATCACCACGTCTGGCTAATTTTTGTATTTTTGTAGATGGGGTATCACTATGTTTCCCAGGCTGGTCTTGAACTCCAGAGCTCAAGCAATCCACGTGCCTCATCCTTCCAAAGTGCTGGGATTATAGGCATGAGCCACCATGCCCAGCCACTGAATGAATTTTTTAAAAGAATGCAATCATGTCCTTTGCAGCAACATAGATGCAGCTGAAGGTCATAATCCTAAGCAAACTAACATAGGAACAGAAAACCAAATACTGCATGCTCTCACTTCTAAGTGGGATCTAAACATTGAGCACACATGGACATAAACATGAGAATAATAAACACTATGGACTACTAGAGAGGAGGGAGAGGGGAATGAGTTGAAAAACTATCTATTGGGTACTAAGCTCACCATCTGGGTGTAATATATCCATGTAACAAATCTCACACATACCTCTTACGTCTAAAATACTGACTTTTTAAATGATCCAAATATATGTTGCCTAAGAGAAATTCACTTCACCTGTAAAGATACATATAAACTGAAAGTGAAGGGATGGAGAAAGTTATTCATCCCACCAAGTGGAAAAGAAATGCAAGCAGAAGTAGCTATATTTATGTCAGACAAAACAGACTTTAAGTCAAAAACTGTAAAAGTAGACAAAGAAGGTCATTATATAATGCTAAAGGGATCAGTTCACCAGGAGGAAATAACAATTGTATGTATATATACATATATCTATGCAGCCAACACAGAGCATTCAGATATATAATAAAAGCAAGTATTATTAGATCTAAAGAGAAAGATGGACTCCAATACAATAATAGTTGGGGACTTCACCCCACTGTCAACACTGGACAGATCATCTAGAGAGAAAATCAACAGAGAAACATTGGATTTAAAACACACTTTAGACCAAATGGACCTAACAGATATATACAAAGCATTTCATCCAGCAGCTGCAGAATATACATTATTTTTTCAAGACTCTTGAGACTGTTTCAAAAAAACAACAACAAGGTATTAATATCCAGGATATACAAGGAACTCAACAGCAAAAAAACAAATAATTTGATTTAAAAATGGGCAGATGTCTCAAGAGAGTAATAGAGATAACCAACAGGTATATGAAAAAATGCTCAATGGCCAGGCGTGGTGGCTCACGCCTGTAATCCCAGCACTTTGGAAGTCCAGGGCAGGCAGATCATGACGTCAAGAGATCGACACCATCATGGCCAATATGGTGAAACCCCGTCTCTACTAAAAAATACAAAAATTAGCTGGGCGTGGTGGTGCGTGCCTGTAGTCCCAGCTACTCGGGAGGCTGAGGCAGAATTCCTTGAACCCAGGAGGCAGAGGTTGCAGTGAGCCTAGATCATGCCACTGCACTCCAGCCTGGTGCCTGGTGACAGAGCAAGACTGTGTCTCAAAAAAAAAAAACAAACAAACAATGCTCAATATCAATCATCATCAAGGAAATGCCAGTTAAAATCACAATGAGGTATCATCTCACCCTAATTAATATAGTCATTATCAAAAACACAAAGAATGCAGAGAAAGGGGAACTTGTATACACTATTGGTGGGAATCTAAATTAGTACAGCCGTTACGGAAATCTGGAAGTTCCTCATAAAACTAAAATTAAAACTACCTTATGATCCAGCCATCCCACTACTGGGTATACATGCAAAGGAAAGGAAACTGTGTCAAGAAGATATGTGCATCCCCACATTTATTGCAGTACTGTTGCAATAGCCAAGATATGGAATCAACCTAAGTGTCCATCAACAGATAAATGGATAAAGAAAATATGGCATTTATACACAGTGGACCATTCAGCCACAAAAAAGAATGAAATCCTGTCATTTGTGGCAACATGGATGAGCCTGGAAGATATTATGTTATGTGAAATAAGCCAAGCACAGAGAGATGAATACTGCATCATCTCACTGGTAGAAGCTATGAAAGTGTATGTCATTGAAGTAGAGAATAACATAGTGGTTACTAGAGGCAGAAAAGGGAGGGGGTTACCAAAGGCTGGTTAACAGATACAAAATTACAACTAGATAGGAGGAATAAGTTCTAATATTCTATAGCACTATAGGATGGCTATAATTAGCAATTTATTCTATATTTTCAAATAACCAGGAGAGCCAGTTGGAATTTTCCCAGCACTATGTTTGAGGTGTAGATATCCTAATTACCCCGATTTGATCATTATATATTATATAAGTGTATCAAAATGTTACACTGTACCCCATAAGTATATGCAAATATTATGTGTCCATGAAAAATAATAAAAGCCTAAAAAAGGAGTTGGAGACCAGTCTGGGCATCATGACAAAACCTCATCTCTATTAAAAAAAATACAAAAATTAGCGGGGTGTGGTGGCGCGTGCCTGTAGTCCCAGCTACTCCAGAGACTGAGGGGAGGATCACCTGAGCCTGGGAGGTTGAGACTGCAGACTCTGTCTCTAAATAAATCAATAAATAAATCCTGTGTGACTGGTTTATATATTTTAACCTAATGTTTCCTCCCATATTTAATAAGTATCACATTACATCCAGATGACTATATTTTAAAAATCACAGAAGAGAAAGATTCTCTGTTCAAGTAAGTTTTGGAAATGCTATTAAGCAGAGTTTTTTTTCTATTTCTAGAATAACGAGTTTAAGCAGATTTTTTTATTATAGAACTTTTGAAGAACACTGATATGCAAATGACCATTATGAATCTTCAAGATAGGAATATTTTTCCAATATATTTAACCAGAAACTTTAGGGAACAGTTTTCCTTTTTACCTTTTAAAATTTTTATTATTTTTATTTTATTTTATTTTATTTTGAGACAGTCTTGCTCTGTCACCCAGGCTGGAGTGCAGTGGTGCAATCTTAGCTCACTACAACCTCTGTCTCAGGGGTTCAAGTGATTTTCCTGCTTCACCTTCCCAAGTAGTTGGTACTACAGGCATGCACCACCACACCCGGCTCATTTTTTTGTACTTTTAGTAGAGAGGGAGTTTCACCATGTTGGCCAGGCTGGTCTTGAACTCCTGACTTCAAGTGATTCACCTGCCTTGTCTTCCCAAAGTGCTGGGATTACAGGTGTGAGTCACCACATCTGGTCTCTTTTTTTTTTATTATTTATTTGAGACAGGGTCTTGCTCTGTCATCCAGGCTGGAATGCAGTGGCACAAACACCCCTTACTGCAGCTTTGACTTCCTGAGCTCAAGTAATCTTCCTGCCTCAGCCTCCCAACTAGCTGGGACTACAGGTCCATGCCACCATACCTGGCTTCTTTTTTTTTTTTTTTTGAGACAGAATCTGGCTCTGTCGCCAGGCTGAAGTGCAGTGGTGTAATCTCAGCACAATGCAACCTCTGATTCCCTGGTTCAAGCAATTCTGCCTCAGCCTCCCAAGTAGCTGGGATTACAGGTACACACCACCACATCCAGCTAATTTTTGTATTTTTAGTAGAGACAGGGTGTCACCATGTTGGCCAAGATGGTCTCAATCTGATCTTGTGATCCACCTGCCCTGGCCTCCCAAAGTGCTGGGATTGCAGGCATGAACGACCTCCCCTGGCCCACACCTGGCTAATTTTTAAAATCTTTTTTGTAGAGATGAGGTCTTCCTATGTTGCCTAGGCTAGTGACAAACTCCTGAGCTTGAGCTGTCCTCCCACCTCAGCCTCCCAAAGTGCTGAGATTATAGACATGAGCCACCATGGCCGGCCTGAATAGTTTTCCTTTAGGATATCAGTTTAAAACTTATGCTGCAGTCAGCAAATAACCAAGAATATTTCACGGAGACTAAAAACGTTTATACATCTTCCCAGCTTTACTTTTTTCTATTTTATTTCATTTAATTCATGTATTTATTTATTTATTGAGACAAAGTCTCACTGTGTCACCCAGGCTGGAGTGCAGTGGTGCAATCACAGCTCACTGCAGCCTTGACCTCCTAGGCATAAGTGATCCTTCTGCCTCATCCTCCCAAATAGCTGGCTTACAGATGCATGCCACCACACCTAGCTAATTTTTTTTTACCTTTTGTGGAGATGGAGTCTAACTGTTGTGCAGGCTGGTCTTGAACTCCTGGCCTCAAGGTACCCTCCCACCTCGACCTCCCAAAGTGCCAAAGCTGTTTTGTATGTGACTTGCTCTTAAGTATGTATTTAAAAGTTCAAAATTCAGCTGGGCCCAGTAGCTCACACCTGTAATTCCAGCACTTTGGGAGGCCAAGGCAGGCAGATCATTTGGGTTCAGGGGTTTGAGACCAGCCTGGCCAACGTGGCAAAATCCTGTCTCTACTAAAAATACAAAAAATTAGCTGGGCGTCGTGGCATATGCTTGTAATCCCAGCCACTGGGGAGGCTGAGGCCTGAGAATCACTTGAACCCAGGAGGTGGAGGTTGCAGTGAGCTAGTATCGTGCCATTGCACTCCAGCCTGGACGACAGAGCAAGACTCTGTCTCAAAAAACAAAACCAAACAAAAAAAAGTTCAAAGTTCAACAGTATATGTTATTGCCTTCTCTATAGGGTACCAGTCGTCCTTCACACTATCATGTTTTATGGGATGATAACTGCTTTACTGCAGATGAACTTCAGCTGCTAACTTACCAGCTCTGCCACACTTACGTACGCTGTACACGATCTGTTTCTATACCTGCACCAGCGTATTATGCTCACCTGGTAGCATTTAGAGCCAGATATCATCTTGTGGACAAAGAACATGACAGGTAATATAAAAGCCTAACAGGTTCTCACCCAAATCCAGATATTGTCTGCATGTTAGGATCTTCAAGTTCCACAAGCTATTAGAGGAGTCAGTGATCCGTATGAAAAGTGATGACAGAACTGACTGCCCGAAGTTTCCTATTGAAATATATGATCTAGGCTCATTAGTAATAGGATGACATCGTAACTTAGTTGCTTTGCCACATTAATTCAAAGGAGAGATTACTGGTAATAAAGTGGTACATACAGATAGATAGAGAAAATGATACGATATCTGGGTTTGCTTCTAATTAATTCTGGGGAGGTGAGAGAAGTAAAACAAAATTGGCCTTGAGTTAATAATTATTGAAGCTGAGTGATGGCCACATAGATCATTACACCGGTCTCTTATTTGTTAATAATTTTGAATTTTTCTACAACAAATAGTATTTTTCGGAATTATTACATCAGAATAGAAAGTTTGTTTTTGTGTTCATTGCCACTTCTCTTACAGTGCTGAAGGAAGTCACGTTTCAGGACAGAGCAATGGGCGAGATCCACAAGCTCTTGCCAAGGCTGTACAGATTCACCAAGATACCTTACGTACAATGTACTTTGCTTAAATAGTCCAAGTATATTCTCTGAGAGGAAGTACTGAAAGATGAATTGACATACAACGTATGTTTCCAGTGGAGTCAATTGAGTAAGGACACCTCCAGCCATACAGAAACCAACACTGTGTGGGGGCCAAGGTCTGATCCTTATGTTAATACAAGGAAGATTGTTTACTTCATCAAGGAACACAGCATCATTATGCAATATGAAACCAGCCAACTGCTTTTTGTGCGGTCTCCTGTAGGAAGTATCGCAATTGTTCTGTTTTCATTTCTTGTAGTCTAACCCTTTTTAATGCCTTTACCTCAAGTTGCTTGGCAGCACAACTATCTTTGCAAAAAAAAAAAGTAAGAAAAAGTAAATGATGGTTTAAAAAAATACACACCTTCATGAATAATCAAAGTGATTTTTCAAAATTATGTGTGCAAAAAATTAATGTGCATTCATATATTCTTGTAAAAGGTGTCTGTGTATTTTAAAAATATATACATGCATACTTCATATGCATATATATCTAGATCTGGATTAATAATAGATATATATGTCTGTGTATACATTCATTCCATTGGGGAGCTTTCTTTCCTTTTTATTTTACCCCCACTACCACCTTTATTTCTCTTATTTCTCTTGCCTTCATCACCTACATTTTTTTCCTAATGCTACCAGTGACATTCAAATGTTCACATATCTGGTTCCTTTGAATGTAAAATATGGCAAACTAGAGTTCTACTTTTATTTTGCATACCCTACTTCTGACTCCTATCTTATACACAATTCTGAGTCTTCAACTCTTGATACTGCTGTCTTAAGAAACAAAATTTTATATATATGTACACATATATATACACACAGACACATACACACATATATATATACATAAAATAGGTTTTTGTGAGAGTGTGTCTCTCCCTTCCCACTCTGAATATACATTTGCCATTTGTGCAATGTGTATATAAGCAGTAGCAACTTAAACTATTCTTTTTCTTTTTTCTTTTTTAATTGAGACGGAGTCTCACTCTATTGCCAGGCTGCAGTACAGTGGTGCGATCTCGGCTCACTGCAACCTCCAACTCCCCGGTTCAAGCGATTCTCCTGCCTCAGCCTTCCAAGTAGTTGGGACTACAGGCCTGCGCCATCACACCCAGCTAATTTTTGTATTTTTAGTAGAGACAGGGTTTCACCATGTTGGCCAGGATGGTCTCGATCTCTTGACCCCGTGATCTGCCTGCCTCGGCCTCCCAAAGTGCTGGGATTACAGGTATGAGCCATTGTACCCAGCCTACCATTCTTTTTCTTTAGTGAGTTTGTTAAAGCTGCTATAAATATAAAACCTGTCAGAAGTTGTAATCTTTCTCTCTGATAAGTGATGTGTTTTCTGAAGCCTTCTGTTTCTATAGGTAATACATGGAGATTCTTTAAAGCTTTTATAAAGGGTAAATATTTTAAAAGATTAGAGCTCTGTAGGGTTGAGATCTTTGAAATTGAGTAAAGAGAAAGAAGGGGTTGTTGAGGGATTTTTTTGTTTTGTTTTTTGATAGTTACTTGCTGCCTCTCATACCTTAATGTGATTTTCATATATATTTTTTATATATATGTATGTGTGTGTATATAAACACATATGTATGTGTTTGGAAGTATAGCTTTCTTTTATATTTATTAGAATAGTGCTTTAACAATTATAGAATTGTGTTGGCAGCATCTTTTATAGAAATATACTCATGTTTATTTTAAGAACTGACAACTTGTTTTTGCTATCTTTTAGTGCAATAAGCAGTTTTAAAGGAAAGTCATGTGTGTTTGCATCTTTACCATGGATAGTAGGAGGAACAGGCACCTTCATAATTTAAAAGGGCAAAGAATACAGCCTTAATTTCAGAAGGAAAGTTTTGTAATTTTTAGTTTTAAAGCATATCTTTGAAAAATCATCACGAATGAAGGCTGGGTGCGGTAACTCATGCCTGTAATCCCAGCACTCTGGGAGGCCAAGACAGGTGTATCACCTGAGCTCAGGAGTTCAAGACCAGCCTGGACAACATGGTAAAACCCTGTCTCTACTAAAAATACAAAAATTAGCTGGACGTGGTAGCAGGCACCTCTAATCCCAGCTACTTGGGAGACTGAGGCAGGGGAATTGCTTGAACCCAGGAGTCGGAAGTTGCAGTGAGCCAAGATCACACCATTGCACTCCAGTCTGGGAGACAAAAGCAAATCTCTGTCTCAAAAAAAATATAATGGAAATGAAGTGAAATTGCCTAAATGAGTCCAACCTTGCATATTAGACATAAAGCTGAATTTTTATTTAAAAGAAATAATCATGAACAGCTTAGCATATTTAAATTATTTGCAAATAGATTGTGTTTGTTGAAGAATCATATTGGCTAGATGCCCATTTTCATTTACTAAAATGAATCAGGAAAATGCAAGATGATATTTTAAAACTTTTGCTAATGTATCACCAGTGTAACTTTCCTTTTAAAATTAAGGTGATAGTAACAAAGGAAGTTAGGACTTTAATCATTTTAAATCGGTTAAATCACTGAAGTGTGGGAAATTGTTTCACAAAACTTTCGTTTTATCGATTACACTTTAAGGTATTAAAAAGTACTATAAAGCTATCAAAAAACCGAGTTTATGAGTAACATTGGATTCAGGGGAGCTTTGCACTTTGTAACTCATAAAAATTGCATTTTAATTTTTTTCCTTTTTTTGCACTGTTCAGAGTATAGATACTACAGATTGTTTTCAGTGGGCATTGTTCTTAGCCTTCCAGAATTCCATCTGCACATGAAACCTAATGGATTTAGATCTTTAGTTTCTCTCTTACCTGTAATCCACTATTATTGCCAGTTCACTGTATGTTGAGCCTAAAATCTGAGCCCATGTCCTCCGACAGGCATGAAATCTTTTATCCCTCTGCCAGAAAACTAAGAAAGTACTGTATTTCGTATGTTTATTCTTTTGAAGTGTCTGAAATGCAATTTACAACACTGTTGCAAAGAACTTTACAAAAGGTAATACTTGTATAGTATATACATTGTTTTCTCCCATCCTTCTCCTATCTCCTCCAAAAAAATTTCCTATAAAAGATGGGGTTTTTTTACACTGAAATTTTACTGAATACAGTCAGGATCATGGGCAAGAGAAGAAAATAGTATACCCAAGATGATAAAAACTTAATTGGTCTATGCTTGATTAGTATGAGTAAAACATCTTTCCTTATCATGGGAACTGCACAGATTCATGTGGGAAACTTTAGGGAATGACTGTAGATTCCCTTTCTCTATGTACTCTTTTACCTAATTTTCAGTTACTCACATATGCTAGAGTGGAGCCCTTAATTTAAATCTATTTGGAAGGACTTTTTTAAGAGAAAAAATATTTTTTCTAAATTATAAAGCTTTACCTTTTGAGTGATTTCTTTTTTAGAGTGGTCTTACACTAGTCAGCATTGCTAATTTAAAGTTGATTAATGTCAAAGAATATGTACATTATATTTCTATTTTGCTTACTAACAAATTGGTATATTTATTACCATTGGTTCTTAATTACAAGAAGACTTGTGTTTAGGATTTTAAGTTAAAAGGCTAAGTGACAAATACTTATTGAAATTTGTTCTATTTATTGTTGCACTTCTGGTATGGAATTTCTAATCTTTTTTGTTTAAAAAAACTTTTTTTTAAGTTAAACATGAAACTCACATTGACCCTTCTGCTCCTGCCCTTGCTCACTAACTATATGATGAATGCTAAATTTTGGTCTGCTTTCTTCTATGATGTATCTTACAAGAGTGACTGTAAAACATCAGTCTTGGCAACTAGATAATTGATTTTCATGTGAAGAAGAGTTGGGAGTTTAATGTATATTCTTGATGGCTAATGTATCTATGTAAAGTGCTGATACATGCATTATATTACAGTATCAGGTTACTGGCATGGAGGACCATTCACTTACAATATTGTAGCTGCTATATTTATTTAAGTAGAGTCTGACTGTTACTGCACTAAACAATAAGGAGATAAGCAGGATTTAAGGCTAGTGTTAGACCCTTTTTTTCCTAAGAGTAAGGACAGGAAATATCAAAGTAACAAAGGGTGCTGACATTTTTAGTTTCAATTTAATATCAGGATATTCTTTGTTTTAGAAATGTAGATTTTGACTTTTACAGTTTGCAAAGGGGTACCTCAGCCTCCCAGTACTGGTTTTGGCACGTTTTTACAGAAATATAGATTCCCTTTCTTTTTCTTGATAGTTATCTTCTAACAAGTTTCTTGGAAAAAAATATTATTCTATGGGAAATCCCTGTTTATAACCTATTAATATATTTCTCTTCCTAGAAGAGAGTCTAGTAGGGATTCTAGTAGGAATGACTGAGTGTTTTGGAAGGTACTTGATAGAGGCCTCTCTGCTTCCCAGCACAGTTTGCGGCCTTCTAAAGATCTAGATCAGTTTCCAAGCTAGCTTCTCCATGACCCACCACTGCTTAGTGTTTACTTGTGTATTCTCTAATGTATTTTAGGAGGACAGACCTTCTGACAGACAGAGTCATGAAAGACTTAAGGCATGTCTAGAGAAGTAAAAGCTGACTTGCCCTTTAGCAGGAATGACTGGCAGAGGATCTCCCTATTCAAGGAAAGGGTGAGCACTAAGCGTGCTATTGATGGATCCAAAGTATTTAGATGGATTGCACACCAAGAATTAGAGACCATTTGTTACTCAAGGAACTTGATGGATCTGTTTAGAGACTAACCTGAATTTTCCAAGGGCAGTGATTTTTGAAATTCAAGAAGCAAACAACTTGGATACAGCTAGAATATATTGTAGTCTTCCTATTTCCAATTCGATTTTAATTTTTTACCAAGAAGTTTAACTGACAACTCTGCAGAGTTTTCACTCACTCAGTATCATTTAACCTCAGTTAAATGTTTGCTTAGCTTATCCTCTTAGATGTTCTTCTGTTGAACAGGCAGGTTGCCCTTAACAGTCACTTGCTACTTAAATTACCTTTTATTAGTTAGTCAAGCGCAAAAAGACATCATTAGTCTGGCATTTTTATTTTGGCTTTTTTTATCCATATGAAGTATTCATTATTTTCATTCTTTTTGAGAATTCATAAATGTCTTAAAGCTTCAGTAAGAATTGTTGGAAGGTTTGACATCAAGTAAAGCCTTCCTGAGTAGCAGTGTAACCCTAATTTAGAACCCTTATTTCCTATTTCAGTCCTCATATTTAATCAGACTAAAGCACTTTTGTGATTCTATAGGAGTCAAAAAATAAGCCAGTAGATATGTGTGTACAGAAATCAAAAAGTGAGAATTTTCTCCAAAAAAACTTTTTAAAATATTTCTGTGTATACTAAGAACATTCTTGATCAGTTGCAATGTTAGAAATAAAACTGTGATTAGTGAAAGCCAATCTGAGTCCCAGGACACAGGAAGGGGAGTATGTGTGTGTGTGTATATGTATGTATGTATAGTCTCACACACACAAAGGGAAAAACTATCTTGACTTTTTTCCTACTTTTAAAATGGTACATTTAAGTTTATAATTTTCCATGTCACTCAACATAATTTTTTAAACTAAGATATAATGGTCAAGGCTTGTGCTAATACTATCTACTAATTGAAATTTATATTACTTTACCCATCAAAACTAGTACATCAGTTGTTTACATCACTGATTAAATCTCAGAACCTTTTGTTCTTAAAATATGGAAGTTAAAGATTTTAATTTGAATTAAAGATAGAAGGATGGTAAATTCAGTATAGAAGTTGAGATTTATCAGTGAGAAACCCTGTTGGGAGTATTAGGTAAACAGTGTGACAAAATTAGAATCCTATCAAATCACCTATCCAGCCATTGGGGTCCCTTCTCTTTTGAGACTAATGACTAAAGTAACCAAAATCTAATATATCTATGTTAGGGTCTCAGTAAAGCAAAGATGTTTGTCAGGGCATAGACTCTTGAGTTAAATTTTTTAATCATTTTTTAAAGCAAGGCGGTTCTTAGAAAGTGCCTTTTTCAGAAGATGGTGCTGTAGATTTTTATTTTTCAAATAGCACGAAGCTAAGAATTTTAAAGATAAATTATTTTAGAACTCCAAGAGTGTTGACAGTTTCATAAAAATAATGTTAGTTGTCCTGAATCTCGTGCAGGGGAACCAAGGAAAGTTTTTATACAGTAAAGTATCTAGGTAAATGCTCACCAAATTTATTTTGTAAATTTGAAAACAAAATCTTTAGTAGAATTAACCCTTTTAATTCTCAACTGTCTTTGAGGAAATCCATAATGCATATAAAACAGCCAATCTACATAACTTTTTAACAAGATTATGGGTATAGTACAAGTGTCCAAATGGAAATGTAACTTGCCAGGAATTACAGGCAACATTTTCTGATTAATTGGTTTCTTTTGTTTTTTGTTTTTTTTTTTATACAAAGTCTCACTCTGTCACCTAGGTTGGAGTACAGTGGCACAATCTCAGCTCACTGCAAACTCCACCTCCTGGGTTCAAGTGATTCTCTTGCCTCAGTCTCCCAAGTAGCTGGGATTACAGGCTTGTACCACTACACCCGGCCTAATTAGTCATTATTAAGGAAGACTGAACATAAAGATAGTACCAAGCCATCATTCAGGTAAGCTTCAGCAAGAAAGCAAAATGATGATCTCTATTGTTAGAGAAATTTTCTTTTCTAGACACCAAGGAATATTGTAAATGATTTTTTATGTTTTCCAGGATGCAGGAACTATGAAAAATTATGACAAGGCATTTAAAAGGGTATGATCAGTTAATTAGAAGTAGAATGTGAAAAATTGTGCTTAAGGGGAAATAAGCAAAAGAAAGGAAAATAGCAGGGCCCTTCATACTAATTAGAATGTAGTAATCTACCAGAGGACAGTTTTGCTCCATATCAGAAAGCAGTAAGTAGTAGTAAATGATCACCTAGGTATTTCTTTCCTCTGAATTTGGTGAGCATTCTTCCAGAAAAGAAGACTAAAAGCAAACAAAAGAAACACCACACCTCAGTAACCTTGTATGCTGCATTATATAATAATGATAGTAAAATTATACTGTTTGGAGTGTACTGTGTCTGTTTGCAAATAAACATTCACATTAAACTTTTTTGTTTTTTATAATGTTTTAATAGCAATTATGAGTTTATTTTTGTTAAGATTAATTTTTCTATTGTGATGTTTATATTTATTGGCAATTTGTCTGCAACTTTTATATTTTGCTTACTTGTTAGTTTTAAGGTGTTTTATTTTTATAGATAGTTCTAGCTTTTCCTCATTCTTTGTAATAGCAACAAAGACTAAGATGAAGTGTTAATATACCAACCAAACTACAAATTCCATAAACTCTAGAGTTTTGATTTTTACCAATAAACCATTAACACTATTTTGTTACTTAGAATAGTTAATGTTGTTATATAGTGGGCATTAGAGACAGTCTTTAGCCAGATTTCTACATGTGGAGGGGAGGTGGGCTTTTCTGTAAGTTTGACTTTTTTTTTTTTCTTTAGTAGCAAACTAACATAACAGATTGGATTTATTTTACCTGACTGCAGTTTTGAGAAAACCTGTCAAATAAATAATTGTTACATGCCTTTTTTTTTTTTTAACTTTAAGTACATTGAAAGTGCTTAAATGGTCACATTGTTCAGCATTAGGATTATGACACCATTTTTGTAGGCCTGGAAAACAAATAGCAAATGATTCAGAACTCATTGATAATTGATTTTGAAATGAAAAGTTTTCCCCATAATTTGTTATATGGAAGATTTGCTACCCTGATCTTTTCCCTAGCATATTTCTAAAGTTGATTCAATCCCTGAGTATCAGTGAAGATATCAGACTTTAAGTGGCTAGGGAGAGCCAGGTATAAAGACTGATCAGTAGAGTACTTCAGCTAATTAAAAATTTAAATAGTAATAATTTGTGAATGTAAATAAATTGAAGGCAGTAAAAATAATGATTACAGAATATTAAGTTTAATTATATATAGACATTTCAGTTTCCTAGTGACTAGGCTAAGGTTATTTGTTTTGTGGCACAGTCATAGTTCACTATAATTTCAAAATCCTGGGCTCAGGCTATCCTCCTGCCTCAGCCTCTGGAGCTGGGACTACACACATGCGCCACCATGCCCAGCTAGTGTTTTGGGTTTTTTTTTTTTAGAGTTAAGGGTTGCTATATTACCCGGGCTGGTCTTGAACTCCTAGGCTCAAGTGATCTTCCCATGTTAGCCTCCCAAAGTGCTGGAATTATAGCCATGAGCCACTGCACCTAGCCAAGATCAAGGTTATGTATATTGGCATGTTAACTTTTAAAATAAAAGTACATGAGGGCCGGGCGCGGTGGCTCACACCTGTAATCCCAGCACTTTGGGAGGCCGAGGCAGGTGGATCACGAGGTCAAGAGATCGAGACCATCCTGGTCAACATGGTGAAACCCCGTCAATAATTTTGAAATTATAGTGAACTATGATTGTGCCACAAAAAGAATTAGTGGGCATGGTGGCGCGTGCCTGTAATCCCAGCTACTCAGGAGGCTGAGGCAGGAGAATTGCCTGAACCCAGGAGGCAGAGGTTGTAGTGAGCCGAGATCAGGCCATTGCACTCCAGCCTGGGTAACGAGTGAAACTCGGTCTCAAGAAAAAAAGTACATGGGGTGAGCTCAGTGGCTCACACCCATAATCCCAGCACTTTGGGAGGCCGATGAGGGCAGATCACCTGAGGTCAGGAGTTCAAGACCAGCCTGGCCAACATGGCGAAACCCTGTCTCTACTAAAAATAAAAATATTAGCTGGGTGTGGTGGCACATGCCTGTAATCCCAGTTTCTCGGGATGCTGAGGCAGGAGAATCACTTGAATCCAAGAGGCGGAGATTGCAGTGAGCCAAGATTACACCATTGCACTCCAGCCTAAGCAACAAAAGTGAAATTGTCTCAGAAAAAAAAAAAGAAGTACATGGAAAAAGTATGTTCCCTTAAGAACATAAAACACTTGCATTGTACTTTTACACCACGAATTTGCTTCTTAAGAAATTTCTGTAAGAGGTTAAACTCTATTTCATCCTCTGGGCTTTCAGTTTTAAATTATTAGAGCTCAATAACTGTACTCTAGTGTATTATTCCACTGAGAGGCAGAGAAATGGGTGTCAAGCAATTATAAATGGGAAAATTTTATTTTTATATGATGTGAAGTTTTACAGTTTAAAATAGATAAGCATGTGATTTATTGTAGTTATTAGCCATTTCATTTGTTTTTGCATTTTTGCCAGTTACATTAGTTTGCTCTATGATATACTATTCTGAGTTACTTCCTCCACCCCCACACATCAAGTACTAATTGTATACAGGTAATACAGATTTGTACTCTGATTATAGGAATTTGTTACTACTAAGTAAAAGCAAAATATGTGGCCAGGTGCGGTGGCTCACACCTGTAATCCCAGCATTTTGGGAGGCTGAGGTGGGCAGATCACGAGGTCAGGAGTTCGAGACCAGTCTGGCCAAGATGGTGAAACCCCATCTGTACTAAAAATAACAAAAATTAGCTGGGCATGGTGGAACGTGCCTGTAATCCCAGCTACTGGGGAGGCTGAGGCAGGAGAATGGCTTGAACCCAGGAGGTGGAGGTTGCAGTGAGCCGAGATCGCACCACTGCACTCCAGCCTGGATAACAGAGCAAGAGTCTGTCTAAATATATATATTTCAAGTGGTCAGATATATTTTTGCTGCAAGTATATGTCTTCTTTTAAGGATATTTATTGCACTTATAACCCTACTAGTTGTATTCATTACATTTCAACATGTCCTAGGTTGGCAGACATGTAGTTCCTGAAGACCAACATTTTAAAAGCTGCCTCTGGTCCTGTGTTTTCTTTTTGCTTCTGAAAGTTCATGGAAACCTTACATATAGAGCTTATTTTGCTGTTTTAACTGGTTGACTCGACAAATCCTACTACCTGGCTTCAGTACAGCTTGACCACAGTGAAGTACTTGATGGCTTGTTCACCTCTTTAGCTCACCTGTTTAGTTCACCTCTTTAGGAAGAAAGCTTTATGGCCAGGTGCCGTGGCTCATGCCTGTAATCCAAGCACTTTGGGTGGCCGAGGTGGGCAGATCACCTGAGGTCAAGAGTTCAAGACCAGCCCGGCCAACATGGCAAAAATCCCATCTCTATTAAAAATACAAAACTTCGCTGGGCACAGTAGCAAGCGCCTGTAATCCCAGCTACTCAGGAGTCTGAGGCAGGAGAATCACTTGAACCCAGGAGACAGAGGTTGCAGTGAGCCAAGATGACACCACTGCACTCCAGCCTGGGTAACAGAGTGAGACTCTGTCTCAAAAATAAATAAATAAATAAAAATATTTCTGCAGTAATAGGATATCCCAAAAAATTGCCATGAACAGCCTCATACGTAGAAACAGATGGGAGTGTTGGTCATTACAGCTTTGCTTTTTAAATTTTATTCTTTCCAAAAATGGGCTGTGTGCTCATCTATAATTTTATGTCTGATGTATCGGAGGCAACGCAGAGACTAGAGAGGGAGATTACTCTGATATTTAGTGCTTAAAACTTTCATCTTGGCCAGGTGCAGTGGCTCATGCCTGTAATCCCAGCACTTTGGGAGGCAGAAGTGGGCAGATCACCTGAGGTCAGGAGTTTGAGACCAGTCTGGCCAAAATGGTGAAACCCCATCTCTACTAAAAATAGAAAAATTAGCAAGGCGTGATCGTGGGCGCCTGTAATCCCAGCTACTCAGGAGGCTGAGGCAAGAGAATTGCTTGAACCCAGGAGGTGGAGGTTGCAATGAGCCGAGATTGCACCACTGCACTCTAGACTGGGCAATGAGTGAAACTCTGTCTCAAAAAATAACAATAATTTTAAAAATAGAAATAAAAAAACTTTCTTCTTCATTTTATGGCTTTATTTCATTTTTGGTTGGAAGAACAAACAAAAATCTCCTAAGTATTCCTTTAATAGTCTTTTTAGAACCAAAAAGGGAAAGACTGCAAAAATGTTGCCTATGTGACTCTTTCTCTATTGTAAGAATCTGTGGAAGCTGGAGGTCTTTGTAAAGAAATAGACTAGTAGGATTGTGAGAATATATAGTGAGGAGGAAATTAGGATAAGTTTTCTTTGCTGGGATCCTCGGACAGAAACCTTAGCAATTGTTTAGTATTTGCAGAGTAAAAGAGCAACCATTGCTATTTGAGCCTGCAGAAGAGACCTAAGAAGAGTTCCTCTGTAATCTAAATTTACATGGTGTTGTCCCAGACAGACCCAAAGGCACACCTGTTCTCAATAACGTAACTAGTCTTGGAAGTTGCTTCTGAATTACAGTAAAGAAATTAAATGAAGTATTTATCCTTAAATAGAGCCAGGCATTGCAATCAATATAGCTTTGGTTTTTCTCTTTAAATAGAAAACACCAATCAGGGCCTTTCCAGACAAGGTAGTCTTTCCTGAAAAGAAAATGGTTTTGGTGTGGGATTTGGGAAAAACACTGGTTAGTTTGTAATGAAGAAGGAATTTTGGCATAAACAGTTCAACCCAGTTAATGGATACAGTTTGATCCCAGGGAGTTTAACAAAAGGAAGCTTTGGTTTTGCTAGCAACAGACTTAATCTCCTATAATAATTAATCGCAATTAAAGTTTTCCAGGAGCTTTCTCATTTCTTAGCCCAGGGTCCAGCCCCTCTTTTAAAAAGAAAGAATAGACTGGGTGTGGTGGCTCACACCTGTAATCCCAGCACTTTGGGAGGCCGAGGTGGGCGGATCACAAGTTCAGGAGTTTAAGACCAGCCTGGCCAATAGGGTGAAACCCGGTCTTTCCTAAAAATACAAAAATTAGCCAGGCATGATGGCGGGTGCCTGTGATCCCAGCTACTTGGGAGGCTGAGGTAGGAGAATTGCTTGAACCTGGGAGACAAAGGTTGCTGTGAGCAGAGATTGCACCACTGCACTCCAGCCTGGGCAACAGAGCTAGATTCTGTCACAAAAAAAACGAAAGACAGAGAGAAAGAGAAAGAAAAACAAAGAAAGAGAAGAAGGAAGGAAGGAAGGAAGGAAAAGAAAGGGACAAGGACTTAGAGGCAGTTTATATAGAATACTGCTAGGGGTAACTTATACTCTCAAAATACTTGGGAAAGAAGGATCCCATACCACAGGTTATAGCTTGATTGAGAGACAGATATTTTAACACATTTTCCATGTTTGTCTTCTAAAGTTGGTTTCCTTTGACATTCCCTTATCTACTTACTTTAGAGCCACCATTCCTATTTCTAATGCAATCACTGTTTTATGCCATTTAAATCACACAATTGTTGTTCTCTTCCCACCACACACACACACACACTAACACACTGTTAAAAATTAAAGAGAAGGATAAAATAAGAGATAGAATGAGGATCGTTACTATGTAACTTTAATGTAGATGAAAAGAAATTCTAAATTAAGTGAGAATTAAGATAGAAAGTGTTAATGTTGCAAGTATTATCTCTAGCCATGCTGTGGAGTGCTAATGTGAACAGAACCTATATTAGGAATATGATGTATTATAGCAAAGTGACAAAATTATTCTTGAAATTAGCCAGAGTGGTGGTTCCCACCTGTAGTCGGAACTTCTCAGGAGAGTCAGACAGGAGGATAGTTGAGCCCAGGAATTTAAAGCAAGCCTGGGCGACACAACAAGACCCCAGTCTTTAAAATAACTAACTAAATAAGAATTATTCTTGAAAGTAATATTTTAACCTTCTGCCAACCAACAGAGATCCTCATATTCTTAAAGAAAATTAATATAGTTTATGGTTTTGATAAATCCGACTCTGATTTAAACTTTAAAAGGTTAGGACTTTTATTCTGATACATGGCTTCAAAAATAAGTTAATAAAAAGTTGGATAAATTAATACTTAACCTGTTCATTTATCTTCATTTATGTATTTATTTATTCTGACTTTATTATACAGCTTATGTTTCACATCCATCTTCTTGATATTTGCAAAATATTGTATAAAACTTTTTAAAAACTCATTCCATTTCCTAGTTAAGCTTGGGCTGTAAGAGGGAAGGCATAAAGTGTTCTTTAATGTAGGAACTTTTGAAAGGTCACAACTGGAAAAAGCCTATTGAGAATGTATTACCTTTGAGAATAGAAAGGGCTCTAGCACATGAGCAAGAGACTTGGAATTCAGTAATAGCTCTCCCACTGATTTGCTCTGTGTCCTTCGGCAGTTCTCTTAATTTTTGTGTGCCTAGTTTCCCCTTGTAAATAAGAGTGGCAATACGCATCCTCACCTACCTCACTAAATTATTAGGGGTTTTTTGTTTTGAGTCAGGGTCTCACTCTGTTGCCCAGGCTGAACTACAGTGGCGTGATCATAGCTCACTGCAGCCTCCAACTCCTGGGCCCAAACTGTCCTGCTTCAGTCTCCCAAGTAGCTGGGACTAGAGGTACATCCCACCACACCTGACTAATTCTTTTATTTTATTGCAGAGATGGGGTCTCTGCAATAGAGATGGGGGCAACTATGTTGCCCAGGCTGATCTCAAACTCCTGGGCTCAAGCAGTCCTCCTGCCTCAGCCTCCCAAAGTACTGGGATTGTAAGCATGCTCACTAAATTCTTGTAAGAATAAGATAATGTTTGTGGAAGTATTTGAGTTCTCCAAAGGAAAAGCTATTCAGACTTTCAAGATAATAGAAGAATGTTGTGTGAAGGATTCTTTTCCAGTTTGCCTCTGTGAAAGTGTCTTAAATTGCCATAGGTCATTTTATGAAACAGGAATACGAGAAACATAGGCTTTATCATGGTGTAGTGTTCACTGACAAGTATATCCTGTTGTTTCTTCCCGGGAAGATACTCAGCACACAGGTTGAATTTTTCTTTATAATAATCCTTGGCAAAAGCATAACTTTTCAAAAACCAAATCATTTTAGTGGTGCTATGGCAGCTGCAATTTTATTTTCAGTTAGATTAACGTGGTGAAACCATCAAATACTTAGAAGTTGGCTGGGCACGATGGCTCATGCCTGTAATCCCAGCTCTTTGGGAGGCCAAGGAGGGCAGATCACCTGAGGTCAGGAGTTGACCAGCCTGGCCAACATGGCAAAACCCCGTCTCTACTAAAAATACAAAAATTAGCTGGCCATGGTGGCGGATGCCTGTGATCCCAGCCACTTGGGAGGCTGAGGTGGGAGAATTGGTTGGACCCGGGAGGGGGAGGTTGCATTGAGCCAAGATTGTGCCCCTGCACTCCAGTCTGGGCAACAGAGCAAGGCTCCGTCTCAATAAAAAAATAATAATAAAATACAAATACTTAGAAATTAACTTCGCCTTTTGCCTTCAAGCACTTTCATACGTGTTAGCATCAGAGGCTGTTGTATAACTAGATAGTTACTCCCTTGTTTCTTGGCCAATTTTTGGTACATTTCTTTGAAGAAGAGGGTTAGATTTTAAGAAAGTGTGCTTATTTCACTCATGGCTTTGCAGAATTGAACTTTGCTTTACTTTAAAAATTCCAGTCATCATGTACCTGTAAAGGTTAAAATTTAGTGTAAGTTTTTGCTTCGTGTTCATTCAGTTCTGAGCACCTGCAGGTCTTACCAGGTGTCTGATGCAGTTATCTTTGTAGATCTAACGTTTCAACAGGCTTATGCATTTCCATGGGGGAAGGGGATTCTGTCTCTAGGAAATCACAAAGGGCATACCACTGCAGGGAATGTAAACAATTCTTTGTTGCAACAGACAAGATTTAAAAAATAAAAATAAAAAAGGATGCATTTTAGGTACACAGGGTATGGACGCATTCAACACTTACTTTTATCTCTGCAGATGCTGACCTCCCCTTGGTGCAGGCAGTTGGGCCTTTCCAACTCATGCTAACAAAGGTGGCATTTGCATTCATTTCAATGAGAATTTCAAGTACTGAAGATGAAAAGTTGGGGAGATTCATGTTTGAAAAATGAACAAAAAAAATCCACCTTGTGCAGTGAGATAGCTAACATTGATATATCAGGAATACTTTTAAACAATTTTTGCTGTCATGTGTAGCTTTATCGTCTCAGTTACGGACCCATAAAGATATTAACTATATCTTGTGAATAAAGATCGTTCTTGTGGACTAGTACGTGGATGCATCCACAGGCTGTGGGAAGTAGTGTATGTGTGTGTGTAGATATCAACATTTTATGTTTATAACTCTGCATATTAAGTTTATATAGAAAAAATAATGTTTCTTTAGTGTTTGGGGGACTAAATTGTAATAGGGCCATTCCGGTGTAACCTGACTGCTCACTGTAGAGAACATTTCTGTTATACACAGCACACATACAAACATACACCTCTAAAGTGTAGCTAACTGCTCCCACTTTACATAATTGCTGCTTAAAAAAAACCCTAAGTAATGGAGGAAGAAATAGCATTCTTTTTAAAGGGGATTTTCTGAAGAGTAAAATGTAAATACAGGACATGTGGGGAGGGTGGGGCCCCCTGCAAAATGTCCTGAAGATGGACAAATAGCCTTTTAAATTCTACTTTTTAACCATCTTTACCGTGTGTGCCTATTTGTATTGCAGATGTGAACTACTATTTTTGGAGGCTGATCTCAGTATGTTTTGAAACTGAATTATTACATAAAATCAGAGTAACCTCTTTCTTCATCCTCCTTTTCCACACTAACTATTCTTGCCAAATATTTCTACTGATACCCAGTTTCAGCAAGGCGAAATGGCGGGACTCTCAAACCTCCCTCCTCATCTTCCCCACCCCTCTGTCTTATGCCTGGCCTGGCCTTCTGTTATTTTGTTGGCTTTTCCTAAGTAAGAACAATTTACTGTAGTATTTCAAGATGCCAGTATTTCAAGTGTATATCTATAAATTCTTTTTTAAAAATCTTCGGTTATACAGTAATATCAATTAAAACAGAAGAGCGAGTCTAAGTCTGTAATATGCTATAGGACCAGATAAGATTTTGAGTGAGTCTACACTTGACTGCCATATTTTATTAAATGGGAATTGGGACGTTATGGTGGGAAATGGCTGAGAGCAAGCTACCTGTGTAGTCATGTATCATTAGAAACACCAAATGCTGAATCCTATCACTGTGTTCTGGGGGCCAGGCCTTGGATTTGGTTGTCATTTAAACTCCTTGAAGATTATATGTAATTATAATGAGCAGAAGGCAAATAAAGTTTTTGAACAAAAGTACTTGTTTTCAGTATTTAAAATTTGGTAATACATTTTCTCTTTCAGTTAAACTGTCTTCCCCACAAAAATTATTATACTACAAACAAATTATGGGTGAGACTGAGAATCTTGAAGAAGCTGGTTTTTAAGCAGCTCATATAAAATGTTGTGTTAAAGAAATTGTTATTGTTTCCTGTCGGGAGGCCAAAAAGAAAAAAAAACCAATAACAACAACAAAAAGAAATTGTCATGATTCTTTCTGAGCCAAACTGTCACTAAAATGTTCTGTGACAGAACCAGTAGTCTTTTTTCTGCCATTCTGCCTATTGGGAGAATTCTATGTTGTATTTGTTTTTAATCCTTGATTTTAAAAATATTAATGGTTTTAGTGTTGCTTAGCTTCAGTTTGAAGTACAACTTTCACTATTAACTGCAATAAAAAGAAAAGCTTTGCTCTTAAACTTTCTCTTGTGTGGTCATCATTACTGCTCTTCAGACTTAGGGAAGGGGACCCGCGTGATACAGTGGAAAGATCTTAGGCTTTGGGGTCACGATGTCCTGGGTTCAAACATCGATTATGTGACACTCTGGGCAACTTCCTTGATGCTGCTAAAACAGTTTCCTCCAGTGTGAAAGGAGAAAACAGAACTGTTGGAGTATTAGATGAGACAATATAGAGAATATTTCCAGTGCTGCCTACCTCCCACCTGCCCCACAACCCCTCTCATTTTTCACCCTCTTAAATAAAAGACAGTGAGTGGAGTGAAAATGGGGAGATGACACCAGGTTAACAAACTTTGCCAGGAGGTGAAAGAATTAAGGATGTGTAGGGAAAAAAGGAACCAAATGAACTGAGAAAGTAAAGATTCCAGGCCGGAAGTGGATACACAGCCCTGGTATGCGATGCCAGTAAACACTGGACTAAGATTTTGGAAACCAGCTCTCAGCCTGCTTTAACTGCATAATTTCAGGTATAGCTCTTCATCTTGTAATTGAATTTGTTAGACTAATATCCAGTCACAACTTGGCCAGCCAATTTCAGTCTGCAAATAATTTTTAATTGTTTAAACATCTTTTTTCTTTTTTTTTTTTTTTTTGTGAGAGAATCTCGCTTTGTCACCCAGGCTAGAATGTAGTGGTGCATTGCAGTGGAGGTTGCTCACTGCAACCTCCGCCTCCCGGGTTCAAGCAATTATCCTGCCTCAGCCTCCTGAGTAGCTGGGACTGCAGGTGCATGCCACTACGCCCAGCTAATTTTTGTATTTTTAGTAGAGATGGGGTTTCACCATGTTGGCCAAAATGGTCTCAATCTCTCGACCTTGTGATCCCCCAGCCTTGGCCTCCCAAAGTGCTGGGATTACAGACATGAGCCACCGTGCCCAGCCAATTGTTTAAAGTTTTTTAAGAGAGACAGGGTCTCACTCTGTCGCCCAGTTGGCAATGCAGTGGCAGGACCACAGCTCACTGCAGCCACAATCTCCTGAGCCCAAGGATACTCCTGCCTCAGCCTCATGAGTAGCTAAGACAACAGGCGTACAGCACCACATTCAGATAGTTTTTAAATTTTTTTGTAGAGATGGAGTCTCACTGTCGACCAGGCTGGTCTCAAACTCCTGGCCTCAAGCAAGCCTACCACCTCAGCCTCCCAAAGTGTTTGGATTACAAGCATGAGACACTGCACCCGGCCTAGATTTTATCTTCTCTTTAAAAATAAGAATGTGTTTGATGCAGAAGGTCTCATCTGCAAAATTTTTTTTTAAAATAATAAAAATAAGAGTGTGGTGGTATGCCCCTGTAATCCCAGTTGCCTGGGAAGCTGAGGCAGGAGGCTTGCTTGAGGCCAAGGGTTCGAAGCTACAGTGAGCTTCGATCATACCACTGAACTCCAGGTTGGACAAAAGAGCAAGACTCTTGTCTCCAAAACAAAAAATAATAAGATATGCTAGAACCAAACAAATTGCCAATTACATTAGAGCTCAACTGCTTGGAACTTTCTTCAGAGAAAGGGTGCTCAGAGCACTACGCTTACGCATCACAAATGAGGTGGCAGTCAACGGTAAAAATCTAAGAGGTTTTTTTTATTGTTTTGTTGTTTTGAGACGGAGTCTCGCTGTGTTGCACAGGCTGCAGTGCAGTGGCACAATCTCTGCTCACTGCAATCTCCACCTCCTGAGTTCAAGCAACTCTCCTGCCTCAGCCTCTGGAGTAGCTGGCTTACAGGCGCCCACCACCATGCCCAGCTAATTTTTAGTGGAGATGGGATTTCATCATGTCTTCCAAGCTGGTCTCAAACTCCTAACTTCAGGTGATCCACCGGCCTCAGCCTACCAAAATGCTGGGAGTACAGGCGTGAAGCCACCATGCCTGGCCAGTGAGGGGGCATACATCTGAATGTAGTTTTCGTGTTTCAGTTGTCTATTTGACAATTTTTTTTTAAAGATGGAATCTTTTGCTGTCACCAGGCTGGAGTGCAGTGGCACGATCTTGGCTCACTCTGGAGTAGCTGGGACTACCGGTATGTGCCACCACGCCCAGCTAATTTTTGTATTTTTAGTAGAGACAGGGTTTTACCATGTTGGCCAGGATGGTCTCAATCTCTTGACCTTGTGATCTGCCAGCCTAAGCCTCCCAAAGTGCCAAGATTACAAGCGTGAGCCACCATGCCCGGCCTTATTTGACAAATTTATCTCAGCTGCTGATACTTGTATACCTTGCTGATGTTTTTAGGAAGTTAATTAGGTTAATGTGTCAATGCCAGGAAAGGATGTGTATGCTTTTACAATATTTGACTCAATGTTATAAAGAACTGAAATCTTTAGTTTGTAGAAGAAAGATACTGTTTTTCTGTCATTTCTGTTGCTTCCACAATTTCTTTCTTTCTTTCTTTTTTTTTTTTTTTTTTGAGACGGAGTTTTGCTCTTGTTGCCCAGTCTGGAGTGCAATGGTGCAATCTCAGCTCACCACAACCTCTGCCTCCCAGATTCAAGCGATTCTCCTACCTCAGCCTCCTGAGTAGCTGAGATTACAGACATACACCAACACTCGCAGCTAGTTTTGTATTTTCAGTAGAGACGGGGTTTCTCCATGTTGGTCAGGCTGCTCTCAAATTCCCAACCTCAGGTGATCTGCCCGCCTCAGCCTCCCAAAGTGCTGGGATTACAGGTGTGAGCCACTGCGCCAGGCCTTGCTTCCACAATTTCTGAGGTCTACAGAGATTTTTATGATGCCTTTTTTTTTTTTTGTGATGGAGTCTCACTCTGTCGCCCAGGCTGGAGTGCAGTGGCTTGATCTCAGCTCAGTGCAACCTCTGCCTCCCTGGTTCAAGGGATTCTCCTGCCTCAGTCTCCCAAGTAGCTGGGACTACAGGCAGGTGCCACCATGCCCAGCTAATTTTTGTATTTTTAGTAGAGACAGAGTTTTGCCATGTTGTCCAGTCTAGCCTTGAACTCCTAACCTCAAGTGATTCTCTTGCCTCATCCTCCCACAGTGTTGGGATTTCAGGTGTAAGCCATTACCTTTATAGAATAGTATTTTTCTTGTACTTTTCCCTATTAAAATATCTTTCTTGGGCTGGGCACAGTGTTTCACTCCCCTAATCTCAGCACTTTGGGAAGTTGAAGCAGGCAGATTGCTTCAACTCCTGAGTTTGAGACAGACCGGGGCAACATAGTGAAAACCTGTCTCTGTAAAAAATACAAAAAATTAGCTGGGCATGGTAGTGAACCTATAATCCAAGCGACTCAGGAGGCTAAGGTAGGAGGATCACTTGAACTGGGGAGGCTGAGGTTGCAGTGCATGGAGGTTGCAGTGAGCCAAGATTGTACCACTGCACTCCAGCCTGGTGACAGAGTGAGACCCTGTCTCAAAAAATTTTTTTTCCTTAAGAATAATGCTGGGATTCAGAATTTATAATTGTAAACAAAACAGATACCTTGGTGGCTTAGTATCATAAAGCCCAATATGTTTGATTCTACTGAAACAAAATTTTAATAGGCTTTGCAAAATGATTTTAGAAACATGCCAGTTCAAAAGTACCTGAGGCTGGACGTGGTGGCTCACGCCTGTAATCCCAGCACTTTGGGAGGCCAAGTGGATTGTTTGAGCCCAGGTGGATTGTTGAGCCAAGTGGATTGTTTGAGCCCAGGTGGATTGTTGAGCCAAGTGGATTGTTTGAGCCCAGGTGGATTGTTTGAGCCCAGGTGGATTGTTTGAGCCCAGGTGGATTGTTGAGCCAAGTGGATTGTTTGAGTGGGTGGATTGTTTGAGCCCAGGAGTTTGAGACCAACCCAGGCAACATGGTGAAACCCTGTCTCTACAAAAACTGCAAAAATTAGCCAGGCATGGTGGCATGCACCTGTACTCCCAGCTACATGGGAGACTGAGGTGAGAGGATCACTTGAGTCCAGGACATGGAGGCTGCAGTGAGCCATGATCATACCACTACACTTCAGCCTGGGTGACAGAGTGAGACCCAGTGTCAAAAACAAAAACAAAACAAAAGTACTTGAAACTATCACATGTACAATATTACTCTTCCTTGACTATGACTCTCTTGCTAAATGGAATTTCCATACTGTATTGCCAAAAAAATCAAAAATACAGAACACAGGAGTGAGCTGATGCTGCCCCAGACAGGATTTTAGTCAGCTCCATCATTCAGATGGTTTTCACATGTATTTTACACACATGTAAAATCAGATTAACTGGTGGGGCATGGTGACTCAAACCTGTAATCCCAGCGCTTTGGGAGGCCAGTGGATCACCTGAGGTCAGGCGTTCGAGACCAACCTGGACAACATGGTGAAACCACATCTCTACTGAAAATACAAAAATTAGCTGGGCATGGCAGTACACACCTGTAGTCCCAGCTACTCAGGAGGCTGAGGCAGAGGTTGCAATGAGCCAAGATCACACCACTACACTCCAGCCTGAGCGACACAGACTCTGTCTTAAAAATAACAGGCCTGTCACAATGGCTCATGCCTGTAATCCCAGCACTTTGGGAGGCCAACGCGGTGGATCACCTGAGGTCAGGAGTTCGAGACTAGCCTGGCCAACATGGTGAAACTCTGTCTCTACTAAACATGTGAAAATCAGTCGGGCATGGTGGTGGGTGCCTGTAATCCCAGCTACTCGGGAGGCTGAGACAGGATAATCACTTGAACCTGGGAGGCAGAGATTGCAGTGAGCCGAATTCATGCCACTGCACTCTAGCCTGGGTGACAGAGTTAAGACTCCGACTCAAAAAAAAAAAAAAAAGGAATTCTTAGTTATGCTCTCAACTGTCTTTATATCTTTATACCTATTTTTCTCTTAGATTTAAAATAAACGGAAAACAACCTCAAGTCAACAAAGTCAACACAGAAATAGGAAATGCTATTTTCTTAGACCACATGAAAGAAAAATAAGGAAAGATAACATATCTGAAATCTTTCCAGATAAAAGATAACAATCAAAGGTAAATTGTAATCTGGTATTTAACTGGTTTGTAATCTCTTCAACTATCTGCAAACATAGTAAAAGGGCCAGGCTCAGTGACTCACACCCGTAATCCCAGCACTTTGGGAGGCCAAGGCAGGAGGATCACCTGAAGTTCAACACCAGCCAGACCAACATGTCAAAACCCTGTCTCTACTAAAAATACAAAACTTAGCTGGGCTTGGTGGCACGCACCTATAATCTCAGCTACTTGGAAAGCTGAGGTGGGAGAATCACTTGAACCTGGGAGGCAGAGGTTGCAGTGAGCTGAAATCACATCACTGCACTCCAGCCTAGGCGACAGAGTGATACTCCATCTCAAAAAAGAAAGAAAGAAAGAAAAAAGCCGGGCCTGTAATCTCAGCGCTTTGGGAGGCCGAGGTGGGCAGATCACAAGGTTAAGAGATTGAGACCATTCTGGCTAACACAGTGAAACCCCGTCTCTACTAAAGATACAAAAAAAATTAGATGGGCATGGTGGCATGTTTCCGTAGTCCCAGCTATTCAGGATACTGAGGCACGAGAATCCCTTGAACCTGGGAGGCGGAGGTTGCAGTGAGCCAAGATCGAGCCACTGCACTGTAGTCTAGGCAACAGAGCAAGACTCCATCTCAAAAAAAAAGCACAGTAAAAGAAAAAGAAACATACTGGTGTATTCCAGTAGGGGAGATGGATATATAGTAGTATGAAGTACTATATTGCCTCTAAGCTTTGGAAGTGTACTCTGAACATAGATATTTAAACTTCAGGGGACAACACCATACAACTGCTCTCTCCACCCATAAAACAGACTCCAAATGTACACTTCCATAGAGGGCTAATGCAGTTATCGTCAGTGGCCAGGTGTCGGAATACCTTGTCAAGATACTATTTTTCGGCCAGGCACAGTGGCTCATGCCTGTAATCCCAGCACTTTGGGAGGCTGAGGGGGGCAGATCACTTAAGATCAGGAGTTCAAGACCAGCCTGGCCAACATGACAAAACCCATCCTTACTAAAAATACAAAAAATAGCTGAGTGTGGCAGCATACGCCTGTAATTCCAGCTACTCAAGAGGCTGAGGCAGGAGTATTGCTTGAACCCAGGAGGTAGACGGAGGTTGCAGTGAGCCAAGATTGTGCCACTGCACTCCAGTCTGGGCAACAGAGTGAGACCCTGTCTCAAAAGAAAAAGAAAAAAGATTATATTTCATTTTAGAATAAGATCAGCTGACCAAGTATTAATATTAACTAGTACTTTTTTTTTTTTTTTTAAGGCAGAGTCTTGCTCTGTTGCCTAGGCTGGAGTGTAGTGGTGTGATCTCAGCTCATTGCAACCTCCCCCCTCCCGGGTTCTAGCGATTCTCCTGCCTCAGCCTCCCTAGTAGCTGGGAATACAGGCACACGCCACCAAGCCCAGCTAATTTTTGTATTTTTAGTAGAGACAGGGTTTCACCATACTGGCCAGGCTGGTCTTGAACTCCTGACCTCATGACCCTCCTTGGCCTCCCAAAGTGCTGGGATTACAGGCGTGAGCCACTGTGTGCGGCCAACTAAAGTACTTTTAAACATTGTTCTGATTTGATGAAAGTTGTACTCTCTAAAGATTTTCATAATTCCACTTGAGGTAACCTATAACCCTTCTGCGGGAGAAAAGTTGAGAGCAGAGAAGATGCATACCGTAATACTTCACAGGTTTTGACAGCAAATGATTTCTTATTGTCAAGGCACTTACTTCATGGTCTCTTCTGGTGAAATCTCAATTACTTTCAAAAGTTATGAGTTTGCATTTTTATTTTCTTTTTTTCAAACTTCTTGCTTCATCCTCTATGTCTGTAGGATCCTTTTTAATCGAAGAGAAAGCTGTATGGATAATCAGGTATTTTAAATCTAAAGAGGGCGAGCAGCCAACTAAAGAATATGGCAACTAGACACACACCACACAGACACATCATCTTTCTCTTTATGATGTTCGTCCTAGAGGTGGTAGCCTTATCTAACAGCAACATTCCCAGGGTAACACACATATTCAACAGGGAAATAATGTAGGTTTCTGCTGCAAACTGAGCCTGACTCAATTTACTGATATAATGTTTCTGTCCTGTGCGAGGGTCCCTTTGGGCATATGGTTCTCCTCTTATATAAGTCCATATTTGACCAGATATCATCAAAATCACAAAGCACAGAGTTGAAAATTTGCACAAAATGCTGCAGGAAATAGATTTCCTATGCCATTTCAAGGAATACCCAAGTCCACCAATGAGAGTCAAAAGTATCGCTGGCTTGAGGAGACCATGATAATTTTTTGTAGGCTGTCTGAGACTGACGCTGACATGTGTTCTTTCTGCTACCCATTCAGCCAGTTGGTCAGCAACAATATCCCTTCCTCTCAAACCATAAATGTCATCTGTTGTAAATTCCCATTTGGCAGAAAAGTGGAAGAAATTCGGAACTAACGTTATCTGCAGCGCTTCAAAGACCTCAGGGCTTTCATCATAATCCACCATCGCAAAAAATACCTTTGTGGTGAATGCACCAGGGTGTTGATAGGAATTTGCCAAGATCTGAAATTCTTCGGCAGCACCTTTGCACATTACACATGAACTGAACTCGTGCAGAGCAGTAAACATCACAATAACAGAGTAGTTTTTTGGTTCGTCGAATACAAAATTATAGAACATGGTTTCACTCATTCTTATCACTCTGTCTTTCTTGGTCCAAGACATCAGCTGGCTGACCTTTTTGGCCAACAACTCCTTCCCATGGGCAGGGTGTGCGAATACCCCAGGAGCAATGAATGCCACGGCCACCACCACAGTCAGAAGTAGATGCCAAAGACACCACAGTTCTGCCATATTTGGTTACTTCTTTGTGTTAAACAAATGTTGCAAAACATGTAAGCCAAAATTTGATCATTTCTTCCAGCAATTAATTTGTCCAATATTGTTTCTTTCTGTCTTCTTCAAGCCTGGTAAAGGGGCTATATCACAAATTCTTGTTCATGTCCAGTTTACGAATCACATATTAGAGTTTACAAAATAACCTGTGGAAAAAAAATACTCTGTGATGAAGGGAGTTTGGGAAATATTGTTCTGGCTTCAGTCCTGCTGAAGACAGACTTGCAATTAACAAATCAGGCCAGGTGTGGTGGATCATGCCTGTAATCCCAGCACTTTGGGAGACCAAGGCAGGCAGATCACCTGAGGTCAGGAGTTTGAGACCAGCCTGGCCAATATGGTGAAACCTCCTCTCTACTAAAAATATAAAAATGATCCAGGTAGAGTCCGATCTCAAAATGGAGGTAAAACCGCCACCCGGTAGCCCCCAGCCTGACTCAGGCTTCCCTAGAAGGAAGGGGGGTGGGGGCCGGTGGGGAGAAGGGCCTTGATCCAAAGGAACCAGAGCAGTTAAGAAAACTGTTTATTGGGCCGGGCGCGGTGACTCAAGCCTGTAATCCCAGCACTTTGGGAGGCTGAGGCGGGTGGATCACGAGGTCAAGAGATCGAGACCATCCTGGTCAACATGGTGAAACCCCGTCTCTACTAAAAATACAAAAAGTTAGCTGGGCATGGTGGCGCATGCCTGTAATCCCAGCTACTCAGGAGGCTGAGGCAGGAGAATTGCCTGAACCCAGGAGGCGGAGGTTGTGGTGAGCCGAGATCGCGCCATTGCACTCCAGCCTGGGTAACAAGAGAGAAACTCCGCCTCAAAAAAAAAAAGAAAGGAAGGAAAGAAAAGAAAACTGTTTATTGGTGGTCTGAGCTTTGAAGCTACAGATGATAGTTGAAGAGAACATTTTGAGAAATGGGCACACTCACAGATTGTGTGGTAATGAGAGATCCCCGAACAAAACGTTCCAGGGGCTTTGGTTTTTGTGACATCTGTAATCCCAGCACTTTGGGAGGCCGAGGCAGGCGGATCACCTGAGGCCAGGAGTTTGAGACCAGCCTGGGCAACATAGTGAAACCTGTCTATACTAAAAATATCTTTTTCTAATTAAGCCGGGCATGGTGGCACGCGCCTGTGGTCCCAGCTAACTGGAGAGGCTGAGGTGGGAGAATCTCTTCAGCCCGGGAGGTCCAGGCTGCAGTAAGCCGAGCCACAGCACTCCAGCCCGGGCGACCGAGCGAGACCCTGTCTGAAAAAATAACAAAAGTTTATTTAATTTGTAAAGCAAGTGAAAGCGCTGCTCTGATGCCCCCACCTCTCCCAGGCTCGGCCGACCGCCCCTCGCCTACCCTAAAGGCCTCCGGGGACGCTGCCAGACGCCGCGGCGGCGGTTGCCGAGAGAAGCACCCAGGTCGCGGTGGCCGCTGCGGCAGTGTGGGAGCGGGGAGGTGCTGTTGCCTAGCAACCGGGGGCGCCAAACACTGGCTCTCGGAGCGGGGGGCGCGGAGGGCGAAGTGGGAAAGGAGGTAAGGGGGCGAGGGGAGCCGGGGCGCCCCTTTCCTCCGTGCCGGGTCGGGGTACTTATCTAAACCAAAGGTGATCATCTTGAGGAGGGGAGGAAAGGGGTTCGGCGGGGAACCGGACTGATCCCAGCTCCTCCCACGGGGCCCTCCCGGTCCCGCCTCCCCCTCCAACAGAAGGTGAGGGCGGTGGGGGGGAGGGGGCGTGCGGCAACCAAATGAGAAGAGGGCCGCCCCCCAGCTCCCCAGTGCCAACAAGCACGCTTCCCTAGAGAGAGAACAGGGTTCCTGTCTTTAGATCCCCCACAGGGCCTGGCCGGCAGACTGGGGAAGAAAGGAAAGGAAGCCCAACAAGGCACGGTTGCCGGGAGAAGGCGCGGAAACTGCATTAAGAGCTATTTTTTTTCTGCCATCCCCCTCCCCCCTAGGCATTTGGCACTGCGCACACACGTTGAGGCTTCCCGGACTCCAATATTCCTTTTTACCTGCTCCAGGACCTGCAAGGTCCAGGGGTTTGTGTCCCCCAGGGGACAGGAGGGAGGGAAACCTAGTTAATGCCTCACACAAAGCTGAGTAAAGCAAGGGCTGTCCCAGGCAGGCTTCCAGCAGGGCGGGGCTCACAGCAAAATGGTCGGGAACCAGTCCCGCGCAGGGGCTTGTGATCCCGGAGAAGTTCTCCTGAACTGTCTCCGGCAGCCGTGTTTTCCCTCTGCAGGTGTTGTCTGCGAACAGGCATAGGAGTTTCTGACCCTTCTGGTTTCTGTGCCATGGCCACGCTGAGCGTCAAGCCCGGTCAGCGCTTCCAGCTGTCCGACTGGCACACCAACAACTACCTGCAATCCACCAATGCCCAGTTGCAGCGAGATGCTTCCCATCAGATCCGCCAGGAGGCCCGGGTGCTCCGCAACGAGTCCAACAACCAGGTTGGGGACGGGAACTCAGCTGGGTGGGCAAAGGGATAGCCCCCAACCACCTGACACCCTCTTTGGCCCTGTCTCTCAGACCATTTGGGATGAACACGACAACAGGACTCGACTGGCAGAGAGGATTGATACTGTCAACCGGTGGAAGGAGATGTTGGACAAGTGTCTGACAGATTTGGATGCCGAGATTGACGCCCTGACACAGGCAGGGAGCCAGGACCTGGTTCCCCGGGGGCTGCTGCCAAAACCTCCCTTCCTTCCCCATGGTTGGGTTGAGAAGACTTTGATGGGGGGGTCATGAGTGGTATGTCCATCCGAGTCACTGGCCCCCTGCCAAAGTAGGGACAAGTGCTACTTCCCCATGGATGGCTCCACCAGCAGCCCCCATCCCCTCTTTTCCTTCTTCTTCTTTTTTTTTTTTTTTTTTCAAGACGGTGTCTCAGTCTGTTGCCCAGGCTGAAGTGCAGTGAAGCCATCTTGGCTCACTGCAACCTCCACCTCCTGAGTTCAAGCGATTCTCCCGCCTCAAGCTTTCCGAGTAGCTGGGATTCAGGCATGTGCCACCATGCCCAGCTAATTTTTGTATTTTTAGTAGAGACAGGGTTTCACCATGTTGGCCAGATTGTTCTTGAACTCCTGACCTCAGGCGATCCACCCGCCTCAGCCTCCCAAAGTGCTGGGATTACAGGCGTGAGCCACCATGCCGGGCCACACCCTCTTTTCTAGATGAAGGAGTCAGCAGAGCAAAACCTGCAGGCCAAGAACCTGCCTCTGGATGTGGCCATCGAGTGCCTGACCCTTCGGGAAAGCCGGCGAGACATTGATGTGGTGAAGGACCCTGTGGAGGATGAGCTGCATAAAGAGGTGGAGGTCATTGAGGCCACCAAGAAGGCCTTGCAACAGAGGATCAGCCAGGCCTTCGAGCAGCTCTGGTAAGGGAGAGGCAGGTCGCTGGCATGCTCACGGGCCCTTGAGGCTGTGTGCCTTCGGTGTGGAACGCAGGTATTGTAGATGAGGAGCAACCCGCTTTCATGCTACATTTTGGCCCTCTGGTGCCTGTGGCAGAAGATACTAATCGACTGTAGCACTTTTCCCACTGCCTGGACATTGGCTCAAAATACTTCTCATGACCCCGCCCGGGGCAGCCGGTATCCGCTGACTGGAAGCATGAGAGGTGACACCCATTTGCCACCACCTCTGAGTAGCTCCTGTGAGTGTGTGCGTATGAGCTTTTGTGAGCGCAGCTACGTGCGTGTGCCTGCAGGTGTGTAGGGCATGTGGGGGAGGTCAGCAGTTTCATCCAGCTATGCTGCTCTTGGTCTCATTGGCTGCAGCTCCATTATCTTCTACTGGGAAGGGTCACCCCAGCCTCCTCTTCCTGCGGTGTTCCTTAGAACAGCCAGGCCTGCCTCTGGGCCTTGGGAGATGGTTCCTGATGGATTCTGCGCTTTCCCCAGCCTCCTGCAGGAAGTCCGACAGCAGCTCCACTCTGACCATCGGGGCAAAATGGAGACACTGGAGATTGACAGAGGCTGTCTCTCTCTTAACCTCAAGTCCCCAAACATCTCTCTGAAGGTCAACCCCACACGTGTCCCTGATGGGTAAGAAGAATGTCTCAGCCAGTCTCCCCTCCTCCCCTCCCAGGCCACACCCTCCTGACCCCCATTTCCCTGCTGCCCGCAGCTCCACCACACTCCAGCAGTGGGATAACTTCAGTCAGTTCAACAAGGACCGAGCAGAGGCTGAGATGAAAGCAGCTAGGGAGCTGAGGGAGGCCATTGCCCTAACTATTGCTGAGGTGATGGGCCACCCACCCATGGTTCATGGATGGCCCCAGTGTGCGCTCAGCCCATAAATTCTGTTCCCTGCTGTGCACGTGGCCCCCATACCCTTGCCTGAGTAATATCCTCAGTTGGCCGTGAGTATAGACCCTTGCCTTGCCCTGTTTATGTTTTCTCCTTCAGACCAACAACGAGCTTGAAGCCCAGAGAGTTGCAATGGAATTTGCCTTCAGGAAGCGGCTGCGGGAGATGGAGAAAGTGTACAGTGAGCTCAAGTGGCAAGAGAAGAATGTGAGCTTGTATTGGGGCCTGGATGTCCAGCCATGGGATGACGAGCCACCTGCCCCCGCCAGGAGGCCCTGGACCAGCCGCACATGGCGAGTCCAGCTGGTGGAGACCTGTCACTCTGTCCCTGCAGACCTTGGAGGAGATCGCTGAGCTGCAGGAGGACATCCGGCACCTGGAGGAGGATCTGCGCAGAAAGTTCCTGAGCCTGAAGCTGTCCCATACCCGGCTAGAGGCCAGAACCTACCGGCCCAATGTGGAACTCTGCCGGGACCAGGTGAGAGGGCATCCCAGTGGGGCATGGGCCCCCTGGCCAAGGTTTTCTCATGTTCCTGATGGAGCAAGGGCACTGCTGTCACGGGGCAGCACTCAGATAAGGACAGTGTGGCTGACCTGGAATTCCCAACCCTTCTGCGGCCTCCAGGCACAGTATGGCCTCACCGATGAGGTTCACCAGCTACAGGCAACCATTGCGGCCCTGAAGCAGAAGCTGGCGCAAGCACAGTAGGTCTGGAGAGTGGTGGGGGGGCAGTGAGGCCCTGCCCATCAGTGCAGCCTCTGCTGGCTCCCTGCGGCTGTCCTCTTGACTGAAGGCTGTGCACGCAGCCCAGGCCTCCCAGCCTCAAGGGGGCTGGGGGGTTGTCAACGCCCCTCCCTAGGGATGCACTGGACGCACTGTACAAGCACCTGGCCCGGCTGCAAGCTGACATCACCTGCAAGGCCAACTCCATGCTGCTGGACACCAAGTGCATGGACACGCGGCGCAAGCTGACCGTGCCTGCTGAGAAGTTTGTGCCTGAGGTGGACACCTTCACACGTACCACAAATAGAACCCTGAGTCCACTCAAAAGCTGCCAGCTGGAGCTGGCCTAGCCCTGCAGGGCTGCGGGAGGAAGGCAGGAGGGTAGGGTGGGCAACGGAAGCAGGGAGGAGGGAATGAATGGAATAAATGCGGAGGATCTCAGGCCGTCTGTTCTCTGCCCCACTGTGTGTAGCCAGCAGGAAGAGGGTTCTTGGCCACCCTTCTGTCTAAGGAGGAGCAAAGATGGGGAACACCATTCCCCTGAAGTCCATGCACCAAATCCAGTTCCTTCCCCTCCCCTCAGGGAACCCCTCTCTGGGCTAGGCCAGCACTCCTGGGCTCCAGCAGCGCCGTCTCTACGTTGCTGTGCCCCAGCTGGCCCCTTGCCCGCCCTCTTCATGCGTAAGTGAGGCTCACAGAAGGAAAGGGAGGGCTTGGGGTCCCAGCTTCGGTGTGGAGGACCGCCTGCGAGTGCGGAGTTAGGAGTATTCGCCTGCGGGAGACAGTGGCCTGGAGTGGTCCAGTGGTCTGGCTCAGTGCCCATCCCCCAGGGACCCATAGTGGCCTTCCCGCCCAGTTGGCCCAGTGATGAGGAGCGGAAAGAACTGGGGACTGAAAGCACAGGCTGGCGGGAGCCGCGCGGCGCCGCGACTCCGGGCCGCTGGGTGGCGCTGTAAGCCGGACGGCGGAGCGGAGACTCCAGGCCCCAGGGAGCGCAGCGGGCCAGAAGTAGGGAAGCCGCGCGGGTGGCACCGGAAGTGGCGAGTGTCCGGCGCGCGGATGGCGGCGGCGGTGATGGCGGCGGCGGGCGGCAGAGGGGCTGGTGCGGCCCGCTCCCTCTCGCGCTTCCGAGGCTGCCTGGCTGGCGCGCTGCTCGGGGACTGCGTGGGCTCCTTCTACGAGGCCCACGACACCGTCGACCTGACGTCAGTCCTGCGTCACGTCCAGAACCTGGAACCGGACCCTGACACGCCCGGGAGCCAGCGGACAGGTGGGCGGGGCCAGGCGCAAGTCGGAGGCCGTGCTGGGGGGAGGCCAGAGGGGCACGGAGCCTCCGGGGACTACTGGTCAGGGGTGCGGGGGGGATGGCTGCCGAGGGCGCCGGGGTCAGGGCCGGGTGACCCACAACAGCTTGGCCTCAGCGAGTGCTAGCGCGATCTCCGGCCTTAGGCGTCTCGCCCCGAACATCCCCTGCTCGGGCGTGGCAGCACCGGGGCCGCAACAGTGCTGGGCGGAGGCCTGGGCGATGCTGTCTCGGGTTGCGCCTGGTCGGGTGTATAGAGGCTCCTATGGGTCTTCTGGGGTCGCCTCCGGATAAGCCCATCGTAAGCTGAAAATACCCGAGGAGCCTACTGAATGCGTA